ATTTGCACTTACGTGCCAGATGTTGCTTTCCTATTCAGGGATCTATGATCATCCCTGAAGCCAGGACCCTGGGTGTGGTTGACCCAGTGACATCCTGCTCAGTTTCCCCTTTGGGAATGAGGACTTAATCCCCAGCTACCGGGAGTGTGGCTAGAAGACAGCTCTCAGCTCTCGGCCTTCTTTGGGAATTTTCTCACTTTGAAGAAAACTGCCTCACCCAAATTCTTGCCTCCATCCAACAGGAGGTGCTTCCAACAGACCAGTTCCTAATGACAGACGAACTTGTGATTGTAAAGGCCCGAAGCCCTCACCTGACCTCGGGACAACTTTGAAGAACTATCTTGATCCAGAGTTTCCTCTGGGGCTGGCTGAGGCCTTTGCTGGGACTGCCTCACAGCTTGGCTTCTGCCTCTGCTCAGTCCTGCTTCCTGTCTTCTCTTCCACTGGTGTTTTCCCCAATAAACATCCTACTGGATGATTTCTATCTGAGTCTACTTCCAGAGGGGACCTACTGGGTTAAAAGTCCTGCAGAAGTTTCTTGAGGACAGGGACAATGTTTAATCATTTCTCTATCTCCAGGAGCTAGCACTGGGCCTAGCACAGCGTAGATGCTCCGGAAATATTATCTGAACACATTTTAATGCATTTTCTTCTGGTTCTCTGTTCTGCCCCTCTGTTATCCCCAGTCGGAGAGTTCTCATCAGACAACCAGAAGATGGACAACCCTGGCAGTAAGATGCAGCAGGACCGGGGCTTGGGGTCTGTTTCTGGAAAAGGTACTCATTGCCAATGAAGCTGTAAATAACCATGGGAACAGAAGTCAAGCTAACCGGTTACAATAAAGGAGGGGCCAAGGGTCAGCTGCTGTCAGGGCTGTGTGTTTAAGGTGGAGGCTCCATGAGATGGCTGGAAGCTGGAGGCTAGCAGCCATGGGTGGTGGTGGTAATGCAAGGAACAGCCTCTTCTTACAGGGAAAACCCTTTAGAAGTCAGACTATCTCTGGAACCTGTAAAATCCCCATTTACTCTATGGGGAATTATTCCTTCACAGAACGAGTATCTATCGTGTCCTCTATGCCAGGCACTGTGGTAAGGATGGTGGCCTCAAGAGGCTGAGGTTCCAATGCTTCCTCCTCTCTCGTGCTTTGTCACTTGGGCAAGTTATGCTACATCACCATCGCTTACATTTAAAACCCAAAATCAAACCCATTGCTGTCAATTCCGACTCATAGCAACCCTATAAGACAGAGTAGAACTGCCCCACAGGGTTTCCAAGACTATAATATTTATGGAAGCAGGCTGCCACATCTTTCTCCCGTGGAGTGTCTGGTGGGTTTAAACCACCAGCCTCTTGGTTAGCAGCCAGGCATTTAATGATTGTACCACCAAGGCTTACTTCGTTTACACTAAAAAAAAACAAAAAAAACCAAACCCATTGCTGTTGAGTTGATTCTGACTCATAGCGACCCTACAGGACAGAGTAGAACTTCCCCATAGAGTTTCCAAGGAGCACCTGGCGGATTCAAAATGCCGACCTTTTGCTTAGCAGCCGTTTGCTTACATTTACTGAGTGATAATTGCTATGCGCCTGACACTGTGCTAACTGCTCCACGTACATTACTTCATTCCATCAACATTTTCATTAGGAGATATATATTATTGTTATTATTCTTTCTTCGTAGATGAGGGAACAGGCTTGGGGTGGGGGGGATTTGGCAACACGCCCAAGTTCACACAGCTGTTAGGGGACAGCGAGGAGATGCCAATCATGCCTGATGGAGCCCAGGGTCTGAACCACTAACCTCTAGAAGCATAGTTTCCATAGCTATGAAGAAAGTACAATTGACTCCACTGTACCAAGTTGTTAGGGATTAAACAACATATGTGAGAGGGCCTAAAGGGTATTTAGTGAATGGTCCACCTCGCCTTCTCCTCCCCATTCCTCTCTCCCCTGGCCTCAGCAAGCCCCTGGGCTGGCAGGAAGGGGGGCTCCATTTGCCATCTCTCCAAGGACAAATGTCTCTGTCCCTGAGTCTAGCACAGTGCCCGGCACATGGCCAATACTCACTGACTGCTGTCAACTCAAAGAGATGGGTCTGGGAGTCCCACCCTCAGTTCTCTGGACTGCATATCGGAGAACCCAGCTCAGTCCATCATTAGTCCCTGAAGCAGAAAGCTGCAAGTACCCACGAAGAGAACCCTCTTGGCGCCATGTAACTCCACTCTCAAGCCACTGAGAGTCTCAGATTTTTCTCAGCAGAATGGAGCAGAAGCAGAAGGAGCCAACCCCCTGAGCCCTTGAGGCAGAGAAGGGTAAAGAATGAAGATAAAGGTATTCCAGGCCCTGCCTGGTACCTCAGGTCTCTCACACAGCCACCTCCAGCCCGTTCTCATCCCCCAACTTCACTGTCGATGTCCTCAGATATTGGGGGCCTTAACCTTCGTCCCACCGCAGGCTCCTGGGAGAAGCGGTGGGCATGTCCACACTTAAAGCTCAAACCTGCAGGTCAGCTGTCCTCCTTCCTCCCCCTAGTGCAGAAGCCCTGGAGCTGGAGGCTGCGTGGGGACAGGCACTGCATCCTTCGAGAGACAAGTCACATCCTCTCAGCTCCCCTCAACCTGTGCAAGTGCCGAGTTGCCATGGCGACGCTGCAGCCCTGAGATGCAATGGCTGCAGACAGCACGGGTGTTCCGAGGCTCAGAGCTGAGGGTGGACACTGTCTGGCCCCGGAGGCCAGGCGATTTAGCGGCCAGGTGGGGAGAAGGAGAGGGAGCCCTTCTCTAGCCTGGCTGGTAATTGCCGCTAAGTGAGGGGCTGTCACTGAACCCAACATGTATGCAGCGAGGGCCCCACTCTGTACCCTGTCATTACTGCACCAGACAGCAGCCGCTTGGTCCTTGTGCAGGGACCGGTGGGGGATAGACAGGAAGCGCTCCACCACCTGAGCAGTGGGGCTCTGGCAGGCTCTCCACCGCCCCAGCATCCTGCATCAAAAGCAGCTCTCAGGCAGAGGTGATGAGGCCCCTCCTTGCCGCGCTCCCCGTGTCATCCAGCGTGGAACTCGAGCCGCCTTTAATCCTGGCCTCTGAGCTTGCAGAATCCAAGGGGGGCAGAGGTGCAGGAGCCAGAAATGGCGCTGCTTCAGACGAGGCCTTGGTGTTTCACCCCCATTTGCTGAAGAAGTCTGCAGTGTGACTGAATCACAGGCAAACCCTGGTCCTAATTCCGCCTGAGCACCAAGACTCTGAGGACCTTAGACTAGTCCCAGCCCCTCCTGGGCCTCCGTTTTCCTATCTGTAAACTTGGGAGCAGGACTCAATACTTTTTTAAGGATTCTGCTACATCTGAAACCCAAAAAACCAAACCCATTACCGTCGAGTCGATTCCAGTTCATACGGGGTCAGGCCAAAGCCTGTCTGTGTAAATCAGGCTTCACTGGAACCCCATGCATGGAGGAAAGAGGCCTGGATTACAACCGGTTGTTCCCACACCCGCCCTCGTTTCTGTGTTGTCTGTGGCTGCTCTCACATACAACGGCAGAGTTGAGTAGCTGTGATAGACACCACATGGCCCCCAAACCGAAAATAATTACTATCTGACCCTTTGCAGAAAAAGTTTGCCAACCCATTCCTAAAGTATTAAGTTCCCTAGGCTTAACCGAGTAAGCTCTGGTGGCGTCAATCTGATTAGAACAATTTTTAACAAGCCGCATCCGGGTCCCCCTAACGAACTCCTGCTGCCCCCTTCCCACGACCCCTTTTCTCAGCAGGAACCCGCCTGCATTTAGGTCAGGTGAGCCCCTGCAGGCCGGGTCTGGGTTCCCTGAGCAGCAGTGGTACAATGGCGCCACCTGCTGTGAGTGCCTGAAATCACCCTTGCCTGCAGACTTCGGTCCCAAGGGCCAGGATTTCCCATCCCAGGAGAACCAGCTCAAAGGGAGCAGCCAGGGCTCAGACCACAAGCCACCAGAGCCGGGGTCTCCCCCTCCCCTTCCCATTTTAGGGAGGACTTGTCTGAGATGGGCAAGCGGAAGGCCCAGGACCCAGAGGCCCATAAACCCAACTAGGAGGCAGCGTGGACATGGGATATACATGGATGCTGGAGGCAGACAGACCTGAACTTGAATCCCAGCTGTGCCACTCGTTTAGGAAGTTCTTTATCTTTTTTAAGATTTCTTGGTTGTTGAAAAGATTTTAAAGATGAACACCTAACATTTCATCTGTTACCAGTATTGACTCTCTTAATCTTCAGAATGACTGAGATACTATCATCTCCATTTTACAAAAACTGTGGCACAGAGAGGTTAAGTAACTTATTTAAAGTCACACAGCTAGTAAGTGACCGAGTCGAGATTCAACTCCAGATGTGAGAACAGGTAAAGTTTCCAGACTGTGGTGCTCAGTAGCCACTCCTTTTATTCCTGCCTACAGGAGTAGGGGGCCCTGAGAGGGCACAGGGCCTCAGACAGGAGTCAAGATGCTGGAGGCCTGGATTAGGACCGCTGCTTTCCATGACCGCCCTCCCTGCCCCTACACCTCCAGAATAAGTGAGAATGGGTTTCAGGCAACTCAAGGTGGCCAGTGGAGCATAAACCATTTATTTCCAAACTATAAATAAATCTGCTCTTTGAGCAAAGACGCTCTCCAGGTGATGAGGCCGCAGTCTCTCCATCTCCCTTCACAACTGCTCTGCAGTCCAAGCGCAGGGCCCTCGGAAACCTGCTAGGCCTCTGGAACCATGACCTTGGCTGTCGGGCAGACACTGAAGAGAACCGGCCGCTCTTTCCCCCGCAGCAACTACAGCAGAGATCGGGCCCAGCCCGGGCAGGTCCTGGACCACCTGGCTTGGGGCTCACCCCGTTTGGCCAAGTTCTACAGGGAAGCCCTGGGTCCCTCTAGCTCCACCACATGGTGACACACTGTCCCTGAGGCCCAGCCGAGCAACTCTCCACCCCAGGTTCCCAGCTGCCGTGAGGAGCCATCAGCCCAGCTGCCTGGCCGACTGTGAGCTGCAGCCCAGGCAGGAGGTGAGGGGGAAGCCTGCTTCCAGGGGCTCCCCCTGGCTGGTCACTGCTGCCCCTGGGCCACAAAGTACTGTTCCTCCTCGTTGTCCTCTTCGTCCTGCTGGCTGCTCCGGAGCAGCAGCTCCAGGTCGGGGCTGGAGCCCAGACCCTTCAAAGGTTTCTGGCCACCATCACCTTGGGATAGAGAGGTCGCAGTTACAGACCAATCATGGTTCTCTTGGTCTGCCCCGATTCAAGTGTGCTGAGGCACAAGGACCCACCCACCCCTCTCTGGAGTCGACCTGTCTTCCTGAAGAAGGTGGAGGCAGAACCACCAGGCACGCTCCCTGGGCTAGAGGCACGGCTAACACAGAGGTAGCTGAACTGTGGAGCGACCGGGCCGGACCACCGTGGGGCAGCCACAAGCCACCAGGCTTGCTCTTCCTGGCGAGGCCCAGGGATGGGGTGAGGGGAAGTCTGAGGTCACAGGGCGAGCACATATCATCAGAAAACCAGACTTCAGGAAGTGGCCACGGTTACCTCTGGTGTGCAGGGCTTTCAGCCCGACGTGCAGGGATATTCCAGAGAGGCAGAGGGCAAAGCCCAGCCAGTTCAGGAGGCTGATCTGGTCGCCCAGCAGATGTGCCGCCAGCAGCAGAGTGCAGACTTCCTGGGGCAGAGAAGCAGGAAGGGAATGTCATCACAGGAGGAGCTGGCTCCTGTGTAGGAGGGTGGGGGCACTGGGCACACTCAGAGGACAGGGCCAGACCCGCCAAACGCCCAGGGCCCAGGAGGCGCAGGCTGTTCTCAGTGCAAAGGAAGGTTCTGTGAGCTTGGAGGACCTGGTCTGTGTCACTTTCCTGCTGGTTTCCCTCTGTGTTACTGAAATGCAACAAACAAAAGGGGCTTTTCACAGAACTCTGTCAGGAATAGACGAGGCAACCCAGAGCCAGGGCTGGGAGCAGTGGGTCCGGCCCACAGCCGTCCCCCAAAGTAAGGAGAGCTGCCCTTCCATGGGCTCTGGCCCATGGCAGTGCACATTACACTGCCCTGCAGGCTACATACAGGTCACGTGGCTCTTCAGAAACAGTGACTGTCAACGGGACTAGTGAGACAATTCATTCCGAGAACCACAGCTTGTGCCTGACTCGCTTGGCTGGCAGCCAGAAGACCCTTGAGGACCTGCATTTCTGGTTTTAGGCAACGCTGCACTAGTCTTGGCGCCTGCCTAGTCAAGGAGAAAACCTCTCCACGACACTGAGCAGGTAAGGGTGAAGAGGTGATGGGGAGGGAAAGGGCAGAAGTGAGGAGGGGGAGGAAAGCGAGAGGGGAGAGAGGAAGAGGAGAGGCTGCTAGGTGGCAATAAAGGCAAAATGTGCAGATACATGGCAGTTGCACTGGTAATGTAACTACCCATTTCTGTACCCATGGCAGACATTGCTAATCAATCATGCATCTCTTTTATGCTGAGTCTGGATGGGGGCTTCTCAACCCATGGCTGCAAGCCACTGCTATATGATCAGAGTTGGCATTCAAGGAAATACGTAAATACATCCCAGGCCTAGTGGAGTCAGACCTGGCCTTGAATCCCAGCTCAGCCATTCTGAGCTGCGTATCCTTGGGTAGGCACAGCTTGTGGTGTCTGTTCCCCTCTGTGAAACGGGGGCGATCACCTCCACCTCACAGGCTGCTGTGAAGACTGCGGGGAGCATGGATGTGGGCATGGCACTCAGCTCAGTGTTTGGCACCAACTAGGCACCTCAGTTTCTTATCCACAGGGCCCTGGGATGCAGGAGCTGAACAGAAGCTGCTGAGAAACACCCTTCAGGGATGCCCTCTAAGACAGGACGGGGGTCGCCTCCAGGTCTGTACCTTAAAAATGCCAGCAATAGAGAGCGTGAGGCTGGAGGTTCGGGAGACCAGAAGGAACTCGGAGAAGCCCAAACCGAAGGCGAGAATCCCGCCAAGGAAGAGGCTCCCAAGAACCCGCAGAAGCAGTCCTGTGTCCTGGAAACGGAAGATTTTCTCAGATGTGGACAAATGGAGACCTGGAAACAACAGGGAGAGAGAGCAGGAGGCCAAGTCCTGGGTGTGCCTGCCTGGTGGCCTGGTCCAGGAAGAGGTGCCCCTGCCCTACCCACCAGCCAGATGAGGCCTGCCATCAACAGTGACCACTTCCTGTGCACCTGCTGACTGCAAGGCCTGAGAAGGTGGGTGGGAGGGAGACTAATCGCACACAGATGGCCTGAGACATGGGGAAACCGGGACGCGGTGACGGCTGCCAGAGAGCCCCAGGGCAGAACAAGGCAGCGGTCCTGATGGGGAGTGACAGGAGGGCTTGTGGAGTCTCTGGGCTTGAGCAGAGGTGGGTGGTTTTCTGCTCCACTGGACGGAACTTTCTACTGGTCTTTGGGGAGGGTGCGTGGGCGGTGGTGACCTCGTGCAGCCTTTACAGAGGTGACAACTAGGGGGCTGGAGAGAAACGGGGCAGTCCGTCAAGCGAGGACAGCCCAGCCATGCAGGAGTCCCTTGGTCTAAATTTCTGCTAGGCTACCTATAAACCAGGGACAAAACTCCATCCCTGCCAACTTCCACTGCTTTAATCCAGGCCTTGCCAGCACTGTGGGACCCAGGCTGGGTCTGTCCCCTCCCTGGACCTCAGTTTCCCCACTGATAACATGAGAAGGTTGGGGCTAGACCATTGTTCCTCAAATAGGCACCAGAATTTGATGAATAGTTCTCAAAAAGAAATAAACATATACATATATACATTCTTAGTTATCTAGTGCTGCTATAACAGACACAATTCAATCCTTAACATACGCACACATCTATAAACATCTGATAAAAGCTCTGGCCCCTTGCTCCAGAAACATGCGCGCGCGCGCTCGCGCACGCACGCACGCACACACGATTTAGCTTAGACTTTCAGAAGATTCACGGGCTCTCCAATGCTGTCCATCAGGGAGAACAACCCCTGGGGTGTCTCCCAGCAGGAGGGCTCTGACTCCCCACTGTATGGATGGTGTGTAAAGGTGAGCCCGGAACTAGGCACACGGAGAGGCCTCTGGTGGCCCAAGGCTGGAAGAGCACTTGCAGAATTTTGGAGGGAAGCACCAAAGAAATGCTGAGTGACAGCTCCCCTCAGGCACACAGGCGCATGATGTAGGACATCTTGTTTGGTGCTGGGCTCAGCGGTACTGCAAAGGCATCGGCAAATTGAAGGGGATTCGGGCAAGAGCGACATCAGTAATGAAGGCGCTTGGGGGGTTAATTTACCAGAAAAGATTAAAGGAGCTAAATCCATGCAGCTTTGCTAAGTGATGACTAATATGCTTTCGGACAAGGGTTTGCAGAGATGGGGAATGGTGTCAACACCCCAGAATGAAGGAAGTGTGCTGTGTTTGGTGCAACGGGGTACACTGAAGGAATGGGGACAGACTTTTAAAAGGAAAAAACGAGGCTGCAGAAGAGCAGTTTCCTAGACAACGGGCTGCGGAATAATTTTCTCAGGGAGGTTCGAGATGGTTCACTGCTTGAAACTTAAATGGGTGTGGGTCAGGCTTCTCTGTAATGACCCTGCAGACAGACAGGACTGGGCAGAAAGGATAACTGAGAGGGGACGAAGACTAATCCCTAAACATCGGAGGGTGGAAGGTGGGTCTGCATCTCTCAGCCTTGGCACCCTGCTGTCGCCCCCTCGCCTCTCCTCTCCTCTAGGAAGGGAAGATGAAGGCGGGACAACAGATGCCCACCTCCCCAGGCTCTTGTGCCCCAGCCCCACACCCAGCCCCAGACCCACACCCTCAGCCAATCCTGAAGGGCCTATACTCCCCAGAAGACATACTTGCTGTGACATGCCTCGAAAAGTCTAAGCCTGTTCCCACTTCTTGGGTGCCCGGCCCCCATCAGCCTGTCCAAGTCCTGTTCATCTTCCAGAACACTATCTGGGAAGCCTTTTTGTCTTGCCCTCCCCATCCATCATCCTGAAATAATTCACAACTCTCTGCTCCCTCTCAGAGGCCACAGAGCATAGTAAGAGGAGGGACTCTGGAGCCAGGCTGCTCAACCCAAATTCTAGCTCATTTACAAGCCAGGGAACCTTGGGCAAACTATCTTTACTTCTCTCGGCCTCGTTTCTTCCACCTGTAAAATGGGGGCAGTAATGGTACTGGCACATGAGGGTTTTTGTGAAGATTAAACAAGTTTGTATGTTTAAAACAATCAGAATACTCTAGAGTATCTTTGGGGCTCTGTAAACATTTGCTGCCACAATATTTTCTACGTAGCATTTATCATGCAGATCCTAGCCATTTTGTTCAAGTGTCTGCCAGCCCCACGCTGTGCCTGCTGCCTGGGAGGAAGGCCTGCGGCTTTGTGGGCTCAGAGCAGGGATCTGGATCTGTTGTACTGCAGTGTCCCTGAGGTGGATGCCCCAGCATACCTTCAAATACAGCAAAGAGAGGGAAGAGCCCCAAGAACATGAGCGGCTGCAGGTGGAACATGGTGTCAATGGGGTTCTGGAGTCCTGCAGGGTGGGGAGATGGGCAGACTGTCAGGGCTGGCCAGGTCGTTCTTGCTTCTCTTCTGCACACTGCAGCCTCCACCCTGCCCGGGCCCCTCTCTCTGGCACAGCAGTCGTGCTCACCGAGCTCAGCCTTCTGCAGGAGGATCTGGGTGAGGGTCCAACGAATGCCACCGATGAAGGAGGCCCCCAGCACCAAGGCGAAGCCCTCGACGTTGAACTGTGTGGACTTGTAGGTGAACATGAAGAGGCCCCCAGCGATGAGGAGGACTACCAGGACCAGTGCCGCTCGCTAACAGAAGAGAGAGAGGCTGCAACTAACTTGGGGGTCTCCAGGGCTAAGCGCTCATCATACCCAGAGCTTGGGAGTCAGCAGCCTTCCTGGCTGTCCCTGGAGCATGAAACCCTCCCACTGCCTCTTGCCCTGGGGGTCCGGGCCAGGCTCTTGTCCATCAAGGGCTGATATTCAGCCAAATATACTCAACAGCTCCACCTGCTGTAATACTGAAATGCTTTCCTACAACTGCCCTAGGACCCAAAGTGGCTCCCTCCCCTAGACCTAGTCAACAAAGGGTTAATGCCTCCAGCAACAGGGAGCCCCCAGAACCCTGCTCTACCTCATCCCCATCCTTGGATCCTTTCTTCTCGGGTCATACCCTGCCACGCCAGTTCTCAAATAGCCTGAATCTTGCCCCTGTGCCTAGGTCCCTTCTCCGAGAAGGGAACTGCTGCCCCCTGGGCTGGGCATGTCTCCTCTGTCACACACAGTGACAAGCCACTGCTCAGATGCCCTTTTTTGTTGGGAGCCTCTGCGGGGACAAGGGGGACAAGAGGGGAGCTGGGGCCTCACCAGCTCCTCCAGCTTGAAGACCAGGGAGAAGACCAGGATGAAGAGGACGGCTGAGGATTTGGTCATTGTGTACCTGGAAGGGAAAGTTACCCACGATGCACCATGGGAGCCCACAGCGCCGCCAGTGGGCCGGCAGAGAAGTTGGGGGAGGTCCCGGCTTCCCTGAGGAAGCAGTGCAACCTGGATACAAAAGGGTGGAGAAGCTGGCCTGAATCATCTGGGTTGATAAGTCAGTTTTTTTTTTTTTTGGATAAGTGACCTTTAATCAGAAGAAATCTCTGGCTGAAAGGCCTCTGATTATCGCCAGGGAGAAAAGGCTGCAGGTCTGACACTGAGCTCACGGAGGCCTATTATTTACCTACCCCTCTGTTGAGATCAGGCTCTGGGAAGAAGATCAGAGAAGAGGAGAAACAGAGAAGGTGGGGATTTTGCTGTCTGAAACAAAAAGCCAGAGATAAGAAATAACGATTCCGTGTGCCTCTATGGACCCACACGGGCTAATGCGGCTGTGAGCGTTGCATGCCAGTTTCTCTTCCCTGTGGCTTTTGCTGCCTTTCGGCCGCCGCAACTGTAACCACTGGATCTGAGTCCTCTGGCTTTCCCCTCCTGCCGGGCAGGCAGCACAGATCCCCTCTGCGCTGGGCTTACAGGAAGAGGCTGGTGATTTCCCAGGAGCTGCTGGGTGCCAGGGAGGAGCTGAGAGAGAAGGGCTGGTCCCAGAGAGCAGAGGAGTGGCTGGCCCTTCTGTGAAGCGCAGACAGCCAGTTGGACAGAGAGCGTGAGCCTGAGGGAGGTGGCGGGTGTGGCCGGTACTCACAGAGAGACGGTGATGTACAGGAAGCTCCAGTTGGACAGGCCCACATCAAGTGCCGTTGCCAGTGCTGTGGAGACAGGAGCCCCCACCAGACAGTGCGAGCACGGTTACCATCCAGTCAGGGTGGGCCGGGAAGGCTGTGCCGAGTGTCAAAGACTGCCTCTCCCCCACCTCTGGCCCTTTCTCTACAGCCCTTGGGACCTTCCTCTCTACCCAGTAACTAGAGGATTAACTCCTGGCCAAAAAGAAGGAGAGGGGCTCTGTACAGCATTAGGGCTAGAGCCCATTCTGACTGGTCTGATATTCTCCATATTCCCCAATGGCGTGTTATCTCATCACGTCAGCCTGGTGGCCTGAGGTGGAGACCGCTCAGCTCATTCCCCCACTTCCTCTCCCCGGCCCTGGGCTCTCGGCTTACTGACACACTTTCAGTTCCCTTTCAGACCTAAACCCCCTTTGCACACTGAGGTCTCCCCTTCCCAGGCTGCTCCTTTTTCGGGTCTCAGCACATGCTCTGGGGAATCCCCGACAGCACCCACCCCAGCCTGCGCTAGGCTCCCCTTCTAGCATGCCTCCTGGAGGGAGGGACGCAGCTTCAATCCCCACTGTGCCTCCAGCCTAGTGCCTGGCTCAGGCTGTCTGCTGACAGGGGAGCGGACTACAAGGCCACTGCCATGTTGGGGACTTTTCTGAAAGTGTGGGGGGCAGATGGGGATATGTAAGAAGCAGAAGTGAGATAGGGTAGGGCAGGCAGAGATAAGTGAGGAGGCCCAGAGTGGGAGGAGAAGGGTGGCTGAGCTTCAAGGCCAGGAAGGCTCTTGGCCTAGGGTTTTTCAAGCAATGCCTGCCCCCCGCCCCCCGCCAGGGCACACACCTGTGGGAGCCACTCTCCTGAGGTAGTCGGTCCAGCTGAGCACCACACGGGCCCTGTGGCTGGAGCACTGCACCAGTGCTCGGGACAGGGCGGAGAAGAGGAAGATCACAGCCAGGTGCAGCATCGTCATGAAGAGGGGGAAGTGGAAGCTCTGCATGGAGCCAAAGCACAGGACCAGCCTGGTCAGACGGCCGCCCCCAGCTCCCCACACCTGGCCTCTCTGTGGATGGTGCTTCTCGGTGCGTGAGCACTTTGCAGTGTGAGGGCCTTCCACCTGCAGTGCAATCACTTGGAATGTGAGATTATGGTCCCATTCTAGAGGTCGCACAGATCCCAGCTTGATGTTCTCTCCACTTCCGCTACCTGCTCCAGCTCCTCCCCACAGCCTATACCCAGGAATTAATAGTTATCCGGTGTGGGCTAATATAGCTGTACCATTACTAAAACACTGAAATACATCTATACCACCTGGTAAATAGCTGCTGCCACCGGAGCCACCTAAGCTTGCCTGCCCATCCCTCAGCACCACTCCCCAAGTTCCTGCGAGGCAGGCTTTGGGGGTCCTGGTCCACCCCTAGGTGTGGCTGGTTTCCAGGGGACTGGCTGGAGCCCAGGCCTCCCTGTGGTTAAATATCAGGAAGCTCCAGCAGCTTCCTCACCACCCCTGTGCCAGCCAGGCCTCCAGTTACCTTTGTCAGCCATTTGTTGTAGAAGGTGATGCCGATGGAGAAGCAGTAATAGAGGAGGACCAGCCCCAGGGTTAGCACTGCCTTCCACACAAAGGCCACGTCGAGGGCCCACCGCCCCATCCAGGGACGCCGAACGCCGGAGCTGGCTGGGTGAAGACGGCGCACAGGAGCCAGTGGAGCTGGGTCCCAACTCTCAGCAAGAGCACTTCCTGGCTAGAGCAGTTCTCTTCACTTCCATGATTCAGAAGGGTCAACGGCGCCCCAGGCAGGGTCCTCCCTTATGGGGCTGGTGGCCTGATCTTACCCCTTCCACAGTGAACTGGAATGCAGGGCTCACAGGGCTTCAGGTCAATGCTAGAAAAATGAAGAGGCAGCTCTGGTGACGTGGGCAGACCATGCCTCTCGACTCTGGAGCTCCACAGGAGCAGCGTCACCACAGGCACTCAGAGAGCTCTGAGCCATGTCCAGTCTTGTCCCCTCAAGCTGTTCTCCATGAAGTGCCACCAAAGTGACCTTTTAAAAACACAAGTCTGATCTTGTCAGACCACTGCTGAAGATTCTGGATGCCTTCCAGTGGTTTATGATATAGACCAAACCCTGCCTGTGGCTAACGAGGCCCAAACCAAGCCCTGCGCCTCTCCAGTCTCAGCTGAGTGGCTATCAGGGCCCTGGTCCCACTGGTCGCCTTTTTAGTTCCCCAAACACACCAGGCTCCTTCCTGCTGCCTGAGGGGACTGCATACCCTGCCCACCCTTCATTCTTTTCTCAGAGAACCCTACTTTCTTCAGCTCAAATGTTGCTTGGCCCCCAATGAATCCCCCTGAGCAACATGCTGCTCTCACGACCCCTCTATTTTTCCTTCACAGCACACGTGTCAGGTGTGACTGTCTGGGTAATGGCTGTACTCCCTGAGAGACTGTGAGCTCCTTGGGGACAGGGACCCCTGTGTCCCCACTGGTGTGTACAGACCTGGAATACCGCAGTTTTCCATAACCGTCTGACGACTTAAGGCACGAGGGCATGCACCTCATGATTTTCAGGGGACTGGTCTGGTCTGTAAAGGGTTAAAAATGAACCAAGAACCCAATACCTACCTTGCCCGCCTCTCACAACTACTCCAACAGAGACCACTGCCCTAGAGTCTTGCCAAACAATAGCTCCCTGCTTCCCTTCAACCCTGCCAACCTCAGTGAGAGCGTGGGGGTGCTCCGGCCCCATGTAACCACACTGGCTGCTTCATCTGTGTGTCCCCCCGTACCCCAGCTCCTCCTTTGAGACTCACTCTGCTGAAATGCCACTTCTCGAAGCCCTCCTAGAACTGTCTGATGAGACATAACCCCGAGCCTCCTTCGCCCCCAATCCTTTCTGAAAGGAGTAATTACATTCTGTCCTGTACTCTGGTACGTGTGTCGTCATTTTCCCTCCCCCAAGGTAAACTGAGAGCTGGCACAAGGCTCTGTCCAAAGGATGCCCTAGGGCTGAGGTTCTCTGCAGGGGAGCTTTGGCTACCAGTGGGGGTGCTTTGGGGGGACACTTCTGGTGTTTAGCAAGCGGGGACCATGAGCGGGCAGTCCCACATAACCAAGGATGGTTCTGCATCCTGTATGACTCTGACATTCATGTGGGTGAAAGATCAGCTTACAATGACCTGATCCTAGAACCCAATTCTCCTTTATATGTAAACACAAAGCCGTTTTCTATGTGGTTTTACTACACACTAAAATTTCCAATGTACCCACCACGTACACTGAGGGGAGACTGAACTGTTTTTGTCAGAACCGTACCAAGAGTTGTCATTCTGGGAAAACCACGTCATTGACAACAATGGCACTCGCGGTATTTGAGCTGCCAATCCATAGGGCTGTATCCGTCCACATTTGTGGCTATCACATCTCTGGTGACGCTACTCATAGCTCACGGCCATCGACTTCACTGTGACTTCTAGTATCACTGTGCTGAGGAACTTACATATTAAGCACATTTATTAACTACTTTTCATGTGTTTCTCTTTTATATATAGTTAAGACATCGTCATTTTTTAAAAAATTATGTGTAGGTAGTTTTTAATTAATCATAAATTTCACTTCAGGATGATAAGGGGAGTTGTTACAAAATATCTGTTATAAATAGAGTACTGTATCCAGTGGGTTGAGAACCACTGTGCACATGAAAGGAGCCCTGGTGGCCCAGTGGTTAAGCACTTGGCTGCTGGCTGAAAGGTCAGCAGTTCAAACCCACCAGCTGCTCCATGGGAGAAAGATGTGGCAGTCTGCTTCCGTAAAGATTACAGCCTTGGAAATCCTATGGGGCAGTTCTACTCTGGCCTACAGGGTCGCTATGAGTCGGAACTGATTCAACGGCAATGGGTGCTGCATGACCTAATGCAGTTCCACTGGTTTAAACGCCTTCTGTAAGCCAACACCTCGCAAATGTGTATCACTATCTCTGATCTCCCCTCAAGCCTCAGAAAGACATCCAACTTGTCCTCTTTGCTTGGATGTCTACTACTAGGATGTCACACTCCGTTTGTCCACAACAGAACCCCTGTCCCACACTCACCCTTCGTCCAAACCTGTGACTCTTCCTACTTCCCATTTCAGCTAGTGGCACCTCCATTCACCCAGAGGCTCAGGCCCAAACCTTGTTCTCACCCTTAAGTCCTCCGTCCCTCAGCCCACATTCAATCGACAAACAGTCAGCTCTACCTTCAAAAAATATTCCAAGTGTGGTCCACCACTACCACCTGAGCCAGACACCTTTCTCCCCCCAAACTACTGCATCGTCTTCTACATGTTCTCTCTGCTCCTGCTTGTACCGCCCACAGCCAGACGCCTGCTCACGTGGCTAGAGAGTGAGGACACAGCATTAAACCTACGCCGAACAGACCTCAGCGCCCACACTCTCGCCTCTACACCAGGGTTTCTTCACCCTAGCACTACTGACATTTTGGGTTGGATCAGTCTTTGTTGTGGGGGATATTCTGTCCACTGCAGGTTGCTTAGCAGCTTAGCTTCCCTGGCCTCTACCCACTAGCTGCAGTGGCACGCCCCGCCCCTCCAGTGTGACAACCCAACAGGTCTCCAGACATTGCTATATGTCCCCCAGAAAGTACAAGTGCTCCCTGTTAAGAACCACTGCTTACACCACACACAGGCCCGCTGGCACTCAGTCTTCTTCCTAACACTCTCCTGCTATGGTTCCTACCCATGTTCCAAGCCAGGGCAGTCTGCTCACCCTTCTGTGAACCAATTCCTGCTCCAAAACTGCAATGCCCTCCTCTCCACTTTTCTGCCTGGTCAAATCCCGCCCTTACTTCAGAGATCTAGTCCAGGACCCCTGCCTCCAGGAAGACTCCCTCGACTACTCCAGCCTATAAGGAGCACTGTCTCAAAGTTTAACAACACTCATTATCTTACTGGCATTCAGAAGGTCACCCACTCACAAACCCAAGACCAAACCTCAGCTAGAAGGGCCCCTGGAAATCACCTAGCCACTTACACAATGTGCATTTATTAAGCACCCCTGTATGCCTTGCACTGGAGATACACGTATGAAAGTGACAGGGTCCCACGCCCTTATTTTATAAGGGAAACTAGGCTTAAAGGGGTAAATGCTTTTTTAAACTCTCACTTGCCCAGGAAAGAAACTCCATGTATGCTTCACCTTCCCTAGAGAACAGCGTAGCTGGGAGCAGTACCCATCAGGGAAGAGCTGGTACTCAGGGGAGGGGATGAATCACCATAGTGCCTTGCTCCTGTTGGTCTCCCCAACCGAACGTGGGCAGTGCAGCTTAGTGCTTAAGAGTGTGTGTGGGCTTTGCAGCTACAGAGATCTGGGCTCACATCCTGGCTCCTCTACTTACTATTGTGTGACCCTAAGTTACAAAACCTCTGGTCCTCAGTTTCCCCAACTGTAAAGGGGGATAAATTCATCTGCTCCCTGGGGCATCAATATAGCACTTAATGCTGGCTGGAGGCAGGTGCTCACTCCATTCCCGGATCCCTTATAGCAAAACTTCCCCAGAGCCCCCTACTCTGCCGCCTACACTGCTTCAGAACCCACCCCACTTAAAAGCCTGTCCCCGCTGTGCCACACAGTCACCATGCCCTCCCGTCCCCTCTTGCCCCTTCAAGGGCCCAGTCTCTGTCCTCATCAGTATCTTCCACAACTGACCACTTCCCCCCCTGGAAACATCCCCTCAGATGCCATGACATCACATTCTCCCAGGTTTTTCTCCTGCTTTCCTGGACTATTTCTTGGTCTTCTTTGCTGGCTCCTCTTCCTCAATACAACCTGTAATGACCAGGGCTTCAAACCAGTTCTTTTTTGTTTGAACCCCCTCCTGAGAATTTGTATTTCCATCCCCGGATATAGTGAATCAGAATCTACATTTTAACAAGATCCACCAGGTGATTCTGAAAAGAGTCACCTGGGGATCCTGTTAAAATGTAAATGTAGATTCTGACTGGGGATCTTGTTAAAATACAGTCAGAATCTACATTTACATTTTAACAAGATCCCCAGGTGACTCTTTTCAGAATCATCTGGGGATCTTGTTAAATGTAGATTCTGATTCAGTGTATCTGGGGTAGAAATGCAAATTCTCAGCAGGGGGTTGAACTGGAAAGAACCCATTCGAAGCCCTGGTAAAAACTAAGGTCTGAACTGGGCTTCTGTATCTCAATTCTCGCCCTAAGTAATCTCATACTGGCCTGTCTATATGCCAGTGATTTCTACATTCTTTCCATTAGTCCTAACCTCTTCTGTGAGGTCCAGACTAGTACATCTCACTGCCTGTCAGTAGCTCCACTCAAGATATTTAAAATTTAAGACACCTCAGGCAGATTTCTTGATTCTTCCTCATGCTCCCAACCTATTCCAAAGTCATTTAGTAAATTCCAGCGAAGTACATCTGGTTACTTAAGCCAAACACCAAAACTTACAGATGGAGTCAACTTTGACCACTCTTTCCCTCACTCCTCAAATTACATCCCATTAGTTCCACCTCCAATACAATTCTTAACCCATCTACTCTATTCCTATTGCCATAGTACAAGTCACAATTATCTTTCATCTATTGACTTTAACACTTTCCTAAATGGTCTCCCTGCTTCCCCCTTCCCAGCTACAGCCTGGAGTCCAGAAAGCAACCATAACCAACATACAAAAAAAAACCAAAAAAACAAAAAACAAAAACCCTAGTGTGTGTCAGAGTAGAACTGTGCTCCACAGGGTTGTCAATGGCAATTTTTCAGGAGTAGTTCACCAGGCCTTTCTTCTGAAAAACTTCTCAGTGAACTCTAACCTCCAACCTTAACCATCTGTACCACCCAACCAAAACCAAACCAAACCGTTGCCACTGAGTCAATTCCGACTCATAGCGACCCTACAGGACAGAGTAGAACTGCCCCATAGGGTTTTCGAGGTGGATTCGAACTGCCAACCTTTTGGTTAGCAGCTCCACCCAGGGACTCCTAAAGCAATCATAAACCAAAAAAAAACAAACCCGTGCCGTGGAGTTGATTCCATGGAAAATCTTTACAGAAGCAGACTGCCACATCTTTCTCTCTCAGAGAGAAAGTCTGGGTGGTGGGTTCAGACTGTCAATCTTTCAGTTAGCAGGCGAGAATTTACCCACTGTGCCACCAAGCAACCATAGAGATGGCTTAAACACAGAAAGCAGACCATGCCCTCATCCTGCTAATCCCAACTCCTTACCACACCCACAAGGAAGGCCTCACATGACCTGGCCTCTGCTGACCTCTACAAGCTCATTCTCCTATTACTCTCCTCCAACACCTTGCTTCACTGGCCTCCTTGTTCTTTCTCAAACGCAAAGTCTGTTCCCTTCTTTGTACTTGCTGTCCCCTCTGCCTAGAATACTTTTCCACAGACCTTTGCAGGGCTGAATACTTCATTCAGGTTTAAGCTCAAATGTCATTCTTCAAGGTCCCTCCCCGACCCTGCTGTCTCCACCACATCATCCTTGTGGCACTTTCCACCGCCTGACGTTTCCATGTTTGCTCACGTGGGTACTGCCTGACCCGCCCCCACCCCAGGACGCGGCATCTCTGCAGACAGGGCTGTGTCCGCCTGACTCTCGGCTGGGTCCTAAGACGGGCACGTCGCAGGTGCTCAGTAAATATTGGGTGAGCCAGCGCGGGACAGGCGGGCGGCAGGAGGGTGCTCAGAGAACCCTGCATCTGGCCCCTCTGCAGATGGGGACGCTGAGGCCCGGGAAGGGACAGGAGCTCGGGTGTGTCCCTTGCCTTCGCGCGCAGAGCCCAGGCGGGGACCTAACTTCCTGGCCCCAGACCTGGCCCTCCCCGGCCCCGGGAGCGCGCGGGAAGGCCCGCCGAATGTCCACTCACATCCTCCCAGCGAGCTCCGGACCATGTCCCTCCTGCCGGAAGTGCGATGAAAACCTCCGCCGCCGCGTCGGGGAGGGGCGACTTCCGCCGGAAACCACTGAGGACGGGGAGGAGCCGGCCTTCTGATGCTGGTAGCGGGGCCTCGGCAGGACCTTGGTGGTCGGGTGCTTTCACCGCTCTGCGCGGAGCACGAGCGCAGCGTCCCCTCCTCCGGGAACCCCTTGCGCCCAGCGCTGAGCACAACCATGTATTGTAATTGTTTGTGTCTCTCCTGCTGTGGAGCCCAGTGCTCCGCAGACAGCAGGTATCCAAAAGATGTCCACGTGTTTATGAATGGAGTATTTACCTTATGTCCAGTCCAGTGCTGGGCAGCCATGTAACCACAATGATAAATTTCTCATCGCTTTTTCTTCTGGGAGCTCAAGCCAGCTTTTGGGGGTGGTGATAAGTCGGGGGCATTAAATTATGAAACTGTGACTTAGACGATCCACAAGAGAGGCAATAGCATTTTCTGTGTGCCTGGAGTATTGTCTGAATCATCTCTATTTCAATAGGTTGAGTAGAGGGACAGCCTCCCAGACAGAGGAAATGGCAGAATCCTAAAGGAGGGGATGAGAAGGTTCAGGTCTAGTTTGGAGTTGGGGTTGTTTTTAACGAGATTAATAAGAACTATGGCTGGAAAAGTAGCCAGGGCAGGTTGCAGTGATCCCAAAATGCCAGCCTAGGGAGTTTTGTGGGCAGGAGATCCATTCCGAGGCGAGGGCAGGCTGGGGTTGCATACTGAGGTGCAGTTTGGGGCTTTTGCCCTCCTCCAGCCCTCTCCTGGCTCTCTGGCTCTGCGACTTTTGCGGCAAGTGACTCAGCCGGGCCCCCTGGTCCCTCTAAACAGAAGGCTCAAGGCCAGAGTGCAAGCAGAGTTTTATTCAAACTGCTGCCGCCACCACTGCCAGCTGGCATCACGCAGGCATTAGTTCATTCAACATTCACCAACCACCCACAAAAGCACCCATCGCTGTTCAAGGTCTCAGCTTTATTCAGCCCTCAAGGCCTGTATTCCATGCACTTTCTATGCCTTTTGAAAGAGGCAAGAGAAAGTATCTATTTTCATCACCGCCCTCATTCAATCCTTACATCTACCAAGGCTGAGGTTTGGAGCAACAGCCTAAAACACCAGCTGGAAGGCTGGGCACTGAGCACAGGCGACACACAGGGTAAAGAACGTGTCTCTTTGTAAGGCACAAGTACTCGAGCTGTTCCCTGGCTGTGTTCCTGGCCGGGTGGAGAGGGAGGATGTGTTCGCGGGGGTGTACAGTATGCCTTTCTCTGCTGTACCCTGAGGTACCCTGCTGTACCGTTTCCCTGCTGTGCTCGGCAGGCCTGAGCAGAAAACACTTTGTCCTGGGGCAATAATCTGTGAACATCCTTAACCAGGAGAGTTGTGCCTGTGTGTGTGGTGGGGGGAGAGCGAGCTGAAAGGAAGGGTTCTGGAAGGTGGCTAAGGGCCCCAGCTAGAGCTCTCCAGAGTCCCAGACACACTGAAATGAAGGCTCGTCAAGGTGAAATCTCCCCCTTTGGGCAGGGAGCAAGTACAGAGAAACATCTGTCAGTGGGAACCGTAGTTTTGTACATGAAAGAGTATTTATTGAAAACATGGTTACTGACAGGAAGCTCCTGGCTGTTCTCAGGTTACCATCTTGGCTCACAATTGGAAGTGTTACTATTGTTTGGTTTTTTTTTTGCCCCCCGTTTTATTTCCCTCCAAACTTTTGAGTTCTAGGATAGGTAGATCTTATATAAATATATATACACGTCTGTATAAGTATGGCCTATAGTAAAGAAAATATATAGTACACTCTTCATCAGATAGTACCTACCATGCCGGCCTACCAATACTGAATGCCACTGTGTTAACGTGTGTCCAAGGAGAGAGGCTGTGTGTGTAGTTTACAAGTGCTGCAGCACCAGGAAAGCCCCAATGGCACAGCTGTGGCCTTGGCTGGGCTCCGCCAGCTCCCTGAACTCACCGCCAATGGCAGAAACCAAAGCGCTGGGAACGGGAGGAAGGAAAGGACAGACGTCCTGGGGTTGGCAGGCCAGAGGAAAAGCAAACTGGAGGGGCTGCAATTGAGGTCAGTGGGAGATTTCTGCCAAGGAAGGAAGAGATACAAATGTGGGGGGATGGGATCTCATGACCTCATCTGGGCTTTTCCTGCAGAGTTCCTGGAGACAAGAGGGTGGGACTTAGCCCCAAGGCCTTTGACTTGCAGGATGAGAGACTGAGAGCCTGTAGGGGAGAAATTTCCATCTGCCTGAAAACTGCCTGGACAAGGAAGATCTGGTGGCTCCAGAGAGCAGAGATGTTAGAGCCAAATCTCAGAAGCAGCAGCATCTTGGCACCGTGTAAGGCTGGAGTGAGCCCTAATGGAGAAGACAAAAGCAAAAGGCCCAAGGCATCCACCAAGCAAAGGCCAAGGCCCCTACTGAGATCTGAGCCACAGGCATGGGTCACACACAAGCAGTCACTCCAAGGCTCTCCATGCGCCCAGCACACCAGTCTTCTGCAGGCAGCCTTCCCAGGCCAGGTCCTGCTCACCTGGGAGTCCAGCAGACCAGACAGGCTCAGGAAGAAAAGGTGAGTGGCTGTTGTTAAATCCAGCTCAAGAGGCAGTTTGTTAGGCTGGAAGGCAAGGGCCTCTGCTGTTCATTCCTCACGGCCCGATCCCAGGCCTGACGGTGATGGGAGGGCAGAGCACCTGCCTTCGTGACTCTTAGCTGATAGGGACCAAGAGGAAGCTCTGGGTGGTCCGAGGTGGTCAGAGGAATGGCTGGCACTGACTGGTCACCACGGTCACTACAGATTCTGTACAAGCAAAAGACAAGGCACCAGACTGTGAGTTTCTCCTGGGCCCCAAATGCCTTCCTGGGCACTGTCGCCTTCGGCTCCAGGCTCAGCCGTAGTGATAGACAAAGTCATAGCTGCTGGGCTCCTTGGGGACTGGTGGTGGGGCCTCGGGAATCTGGATGTTCTCCAGGTCCAGGAGCCGCAGCTTCATCTCCATGCTCAGCAGGGTGTCCAGGTCACTCTTGGTCAGCTCACTAGACATGTCCTTCCCCAGAAGGGCACTGAGGCCGTCGATCCAGATGCAGTACTGTGGGAAGCAAGTTACAAAACGTCACCTGGTGGCCACGGCTTGGCTGGAGGTGCTGCCAAGGTCCCTTTTCTGAAGGGACTCACAAACCCTAGTTAGTATAGTTAGTATAGGCAAAACCGACTTGACGCAAACCTGACATGAAAATTTGGAATAACAGCAAAGATAAACTGGGAGATGATCATTCACTTTCTGAAAAGATCTGGCTTTTATGAGGAGATTTCTACTAAAACTCCTTAAAGTAATATGAAACGTGATTTTTTAACATGTATTTGATGAGTACAGTAAAACTAAACCTGAGTACGGGGGCATCAGCTGCCCCCCCAAATCAGTAGGGTGGTGGGGGAAATATATATTAAGTGAAAAAGTAGGACACAAACAGGAATCATGGGAGGATCTCAATTTTGTTTCAAAAAAAGTAAATTAAAAAAAATAAATAAACCCACTCAGTAAATGTTAAAAATAAATCCTAGAGAGACTGAACTTGAGGGTCTCCTGATAAGAGGGAATAAAAACTCTTCTCCACCCATTTCCCTCACCACAACTCCTCCTGTTCCCTCTGCTGAGGTTTGCCTTTTCCCATGCCTGTGCTCACCTGTTTCCCCACCTGCTTGTCCTTCGTTCCTTCCCAGTAAAATTCCACCAGCAACTCAGGCCCAGTCTAAGTGTCTCCTCTTCCAGAAGCCTTCTAGTTCCCACCCATTGCCCTCAGAGCTCACCAGGCACTTAGGGTCTCAACCACAGCTACTCATTTACTATCTAGTAGTTCCCAGTGCTGCAGGTGAACTATAAGCCCCTTGTCAAAAGGGCCAGCCAGATCCATTTGGTTTCCAAGCCCATACTGATCCACTACAACATGCGACCAGGAGCCCTGCAGAGGGAGGGATCTGTCAGGTTCACTTGGGTAGGTGCCATGGAGAAATGGAAAGGAGGAGACTTTTCCTAGTTCCAGGCAAATAAGTGGTTCCTAGCTGACCTTACCGTTGTAATGACAACCTTACAGCTGCTGCTGAACAGTGACCTGGAGAGCCCAGCTCAGGAGGAAGGGCCCACAACGTGGCAGGTCCCTTGTGTCACCTAGCCTTCATGACACGCTGTGGCCATCTGCCTAAAGGCTGACCTTCCTGTTCTGCCCACACTTCCCTTCCAACTGAAGAGTCACAGAGAGGGCTCTGCGGTCCAAGGCACTGCCACACTGCTCACCTCGTACTTGTTAGGTGCAATGAAGTTTAAGGTCTCATCAGGATCATAGAGGATGGAGAAAGCCAATTCCAACACCTCCTGAAGGAGAAAGGTCTTGGTTACCCTAGAGCAATGGAATGGCCTGGGTTCTGCACACCAAGATCTTGGCCAAAGTCCTAGTAACTTGGCACCATCACCAAAAGCCTCAATTCATGGCCCTGGGCAGGCACACAGATGTGGCTGGAGATGAGGTTCAGTGGTCATCAGTCTTGACTCACCCACTTCCCGCCCAGGTCACGCCTCAGATATGTTACTTTTAAAATCGGAGAAAAGTCATTTTTTCAACACTCAGGGCCCTTTGAATGTCAGAGTCCATGACTGTATATTACCCTAAAAGTTATATTCTATATTACAAAGATGACTGCCTTTCTATTTCTATCATGCTGTAAATGGCATAAGAAAGTCTTAAAAGTTTACAGATAAAGACAACAAAAACGTATTTTGGCCAAACACGAGACAATTTGAGCATCAGTGAAATAATAACTGTAATGGATTGAAACAAATATGATTTGCTTAAATTCATGAGTTCACAATACCAAAAAGTCAAACAAAACAAAACACACACACAATTGGTCACTGCTGGATGAGATCAGGGAACCAGCTCATTATGTTAAAAACAGGAACACAAAGGGGAAGAACCAAGCATTTGTCCCGCCTTTCTTCTAGAAAACGTCCAACTGGGAAGCCAATGGTAGATGACGGCAAGTTTCTCTTTAGAGAAATAGTTCAGCTAATAAATGAAAAGGAATGACTGAATTAGAATATCACTGTTTTGCAAACCTTAATTAAATGGAAAGAGGCACTGAGCATCAATGCTGACATTACAAAAAGAGAGACAACCAGACATTATGTGCCTCCTGAGAGAAGAACAAAACACCATCCATGAAGCAGTCTTGCCAAAAAAAAAAAAAAAATTCAGACCTAAACTGGTTCATGCCTCTCGATCCCACTACCAATTTACAGAGCTGGGGCAGAGAACAAGTTAAACTGTACCGGGGGATACAATCAGCAAAATCCAGACTCTGGGAAAGTACCAAACAAGCAACCTGGTTTCTTTACTAGTAAGCTGCAAAGGAATAAAACAAAATTGTGGAGAGAGAAGACTCTCAGAAGACATATCAACTCATCACAATGTGTGGACCTTAGTGAATCCTGGTTTAACAAACAAAACAGTCGAGAGCGAGAAAGAGACAGAGAATGTGTGTGTATACAGACATTTTTATATAAAGAACTTATGACACTCATAAGACAATTGGTGGAAATTCAAACGTCGATGGAGTATTTCATGATATTAAATAGCTATGTTTTATTTCTCTTTAGGTGTGATAATGGTTATGTTAAAAGAGTCCCTATACTTTAGAAATACATACTAAATATCTGCAGATGAAACAATATTATACTTGGGATTTGCTTCAAAATAATGAGAGAGACAAGTGGATGGGGCAGAATTTTCATGGTTGTTGAAGGTGGGTGATGAATATATGGAGGCTGTATCTGATGTCCAAAATGACTCTTAATAAAACATTCAGGAATAATTTAAGGGGGAGGGGGAGACGACACACCTACACCACCACCACCGACTAGACTCTTCAGACATCACTGTGACGGCGCCTCTCCACTCACCTTGTTCTGCTTCAGAGCACTTTTCTCTTTCATGTGGGGACAATCTTTCCCAGTGACAATGGCCTTAATGTCTGCAACAGGAACTGACATATGATGGGAATTAGTCTCTGGAGGCTTCACGCTGCACATTGGTCCTTGCATCAGTGCTGGGAGGGAAGCCCTGAGTCTAAGGGCTAGATTAGCTCAGGGAGGGTAGCCTTTACTGTTCTCTCCTCCTTTGTCACTTCCCGTGGACCATGGTCTGGTGGAGCTGTGTCAAAGCTAACTGGGGTCACTTCGGGGCTTTTGGATTTGTCTCCCCAAGGAATGGGGCCGTGGGCACTCTCCTCACTTTCACTCCACAGTTATGAGGATGACAACGCCACAATAATGTAGCAGTGGTGGCAGCTCCAGTTACACTTACTGTGTGCCAGGCACTGTTCTAAGTGCTTTACATTCACTACTCAGTCAATCCTCCTATGAGGGAAGTGTGGTTATTATTCTCATTTTACAGAGAGGAAACTGAGGCAGAGGGGAGAATTAACTTGCATAGGGAATTAACGGCTAATTAGGAGCAAAGTCCGCATGTGAATCCACGCAGTCTAGATTCAGAGCTTATGGTCTTAATCACCAACCACTGCCTTCCAACTTAGCCTCGGACCATCCTTTACAATCTACAAATCACATTGACACCTGGGAAATCATTTGATTCTCCAAAACAACCCTGTGAGGTAGGCCAGCTGGAAATGATCTCTGGCAGATGAGGAAACAGGTCTTGAGACGTGACTTGCCCAAGGTCATATAATCTGTTTGAAACCAAGCTAGGGCTAGTACTCAAGCCTCCTGATGAGTTCAGCTATGATGACACATCAACCGAGAAATGAACCTACTTTTCTCCTGCAGGGACTCGAATGTCACCTCCCCTTGAGGGTTGTCATCCAGGTCGCCATAGTGCAGAACCTTGTGGTTCAGTGCCAAGCGGCAGTACCAGAAACGTTCTGGAACACAAGGGGAGGCAGAGCAGGTGAACAAGGGCAGTTCTGTGAAAGGCCCAGCACACAAAGGGCAAAGGAGGACTTATTTCTGCCTGCTCCCAGCAGGGCACAGAGACAGAGGGCAGGCTCCAACCAGGCAGCCCCATCCTGGTACCGGTGACTCTGGTAAGGACCAGCCCAGCAGCCCACATCCTCCTCTCACCTTGCCTTCGGCGATTCCCAATCTTTCGGAAGCTGCTACCCTCACAGAGCCGGTTCAGGCGCTGCTGCTTGATCAGCTCCAGGATCTCGGGCTGGATCTTCTCCCTCAGTTCCCTGGGGTGCACAAGCGCCAGAGTAAGGAGAAGGTCAGGGGGACAGCGGAGCTCTTGAAGGAGGGCAGGGCTAGCTGGCAGCCGCCTTCCCCGCCCAAGCCCTCTGGAATGGCACTTACACGATTGGCGGGGACTGGAAGTCATCCTGACTCATCCTCTCGGACTGGCGCAGCCGCAGGATCTCGGAGTAGCTCAGGCTACGCAGTTTGCTCTTGAACTGATCCAAAGAGTTGGGTTTGGAGGGCAAAGCTCGAGTGATTTGCTCTCGGACTACTTGCATAACCTAAGAGGACAGGAAGAAGGCAGCTGACTTAGGCCACTGCTCTGATTAGTGGACAGAGTGATTCTGGGCACCAAGGCTGTGTCTACCCCAGTGTCCCCAGCATCGCAGGCTGGACAAGTATCTGCCGGGTGGATGAGAGTACTGACTTTCTAAGGCAGGCCTTCTTAGGTGGGTGTTTAGGTCAAATGACTGATGGTAACAAATGCTTTACTTCTCAAACACTTCACTTAATCAGCGGTCGGCATCAACTCGATGGCAGTGGGTTATGGGTATGGGTGATATAAAGAGCAGAGGCTGTTGGAGTCAAGAGAAATGGATCCAAATTTTGGTTCTCTGACCCTTAATCTGTTCCTTGAGCCAGTCACTTCACATCCTCAGGCCACCATCTTTAAAGTGGGAGAAAGGAAGACCCATCTCCTGATATATGCTGCCATAAGGAATACCAGATGATATACGGAAGGCAAACACAGCATCTGGCACGCTGTCGTGTGTTCAGTAAATGTGTTAGTTCCCTAAAACAACTGCTAAAGCAAAAAACAGGCTAACACACTGCGTACAGTATGATCTCACTAATGAAGGAAAGATCTAGAAAAAAACACAAGAGGGAAAGACATAAAAATGGTAACAATGGCCATTGCTGGATGGTGGAATTACAGGTAACGTTTTTATACTGCCCAAGCTTGTTATGAGATGACAGAACACTCAGCTCCTAGACTGTCAGCCGAGCACAATGCTCTACAGACAGTGGACACTCAGAAAGCATTGAGGAATGAATATTGATTAAGTACCCACGAAGATGCCATGCATCGGAATCGGCTCAATGGCAACTAACAAAAACACCCACGACCAACACACCGTGCCAATCCACTTCTACCTCCCTAATGCTTCCAGTCCAAGCTACAACAGAGCTGCATGAAGTAAGTGCTCAGTCAACCACAGCTATTCTTGTTCAGCGTATTCTGCTCCCTAAGGAAGATGGGGGTGGGGGTGAGCAGATACTGGCTCCACTGGGCAAACGAGGGGCGCCCAGCGTACTGAGGGGAAGCAGCTTGGTCCGCAGTGCCGAGAGCCTTAGTCCTACCTCGTTTTGCTCAAGATTGCAGAGAAGTCACAACAAGATGGGACCAAGGCTCTTGCACCGTGGACCAAGCTGCTTTCCTAGCTCTGGGATTGCCAGGCTCTGGCCAGCTGTGTGACTGCCACATGACAGGCTCTGCCCGTGGTTCTCAGAGAAGCTCTGTGGCACTGACCTTGTTGAAGTCCTCTGCTGTCGCCCGCATCTCTTTCCATGTCTTGTTCAACAGCTGGATGCAAATTCCAAAGAGCTCTTCAAATGCTCGATCATGGGTAAAGAACATGGGGTGGTAGTCGTTGCGCCCTTCATTGGCTGTGGAAGGACAGAAACGAGAAGAATAAAGCCCTGCCCACAGGGAATGGGAGCTCATGTCTGGAGACTCTGGAACCTCTGCTGTAGAGTCCTGAGGCACAATGCCAGCTCAAGGCCTGTGGCTAACACCACTGCCTTGGTGTTCTCCTCCAAGGCACTTTCTCTTGGTCTGGCTCTACCCTGTTACAGACCCAGCTCAAATTACTAGCTCAAACAAAGCAACAGCCATGATTCCCATAAACCAGGATAATGTGGACTATCAGCTCACGCAGTGATAGAAAATCAATAAGGGTGTCCAGCCCCACTGACATCTAGCTGCTTATAATCTCATGTCTCAGCAGGCTCTTGATTGCAAGGAATGGCAGCAGGAAGAAGAGAAGCTGCACAGACTTACGTAGTTCCCCAACCTGTAGGATTTCACAGAGCATTTTGGTGAGCTCAATGGCACTGCGGCCAAAGGGACACTCATGTTTGTCTTCTCGGCTGCTGTTCTCCAAAACAATCTGTGGGGGAGGGAAACAAGAGGAAGGATCAGGGACAGGGAGAGGAAGGCAAGGGATGGGCTACCAGAACAGAGCGCCATCCCCCCGCCTTTACCCGGATGTAGGTGTCCTGATGGACTTTAGCCAAGTACAGCATGTTGTCCAAGGCCAGCATTCCAGGAGGAGTCTGGGTAAAGTCCATTGCTGGGTTGATATGGTTCTGGAGAATAAAGAAACCCAATTTGAGACTGGGTAGACTCCCCGTGTGGGTATCACCTGAGGGGAGGCCCCTACTGACACCAAGCCCCCCATATGCCACTCTCGCTTTGTACTCCCCTCTCCTGGAGCCCGTCTCTACTACTCAACATGAGCTCCTCAGGCTCTGCACCATGGCTGCTCACCTTGTACCCCAGTCCCTAGCAGACTGCCTGACACTTAGTAGGTGTGCAATAATTAATGAAATTAACCCCATCCTCAGGCCGTGTTCTATCATAAGATACTCCATCTAGTTTCTAAAAGAACTTAGCTATACCGGTTAGAGGACAGAAGGGTCTCTGCCCGCTTTGGTTGACTGCTGGGCCCTTCTACAAATGGATTTGTTTCAGAGGGCTGGATGTGACACATAAACGTGCGTACTTGCCACCACTAAAGCAAATCAAGCATCCAAGCCTCTCTAGCTTTTCACTGTCAATTTTTTCAGGGCCACCACTATGAAGGAGGGGACCTCATGGACCTGTCTGGGCAGGTTCTCTGACTACCTTGTCAGGGGAGAAGGCCTACAAAATTTGCACTTCGGTGTTTAAGATCAACTTAACTCAAAGAATATGGTCTTTGTCCTTGGTTCCTGAGAGAGAATGCTAAAACCCTAGAAACTGCCCAGTAACTGAAGTGCCTTTGACGAGGCTTCCAGACTACACCTGAGGGTTTATGCTAATGACATGACTCAGGTAGGGGCTGGCCAGGCCAGAAAGAACTACCTTGTGGTTATCAGCTGACCTAGGGGATAGGGGCACAATTCCATCAATCATGCTTATGTAATGAGAACCCAATAAAGGCTCTGGACACGGGAGCTCCACGGGCTTCCTGGTTGGTGAGAAACATTGATGCATGTGGGAAGATAGCATGTCCCTTTTTGGGACATGGAAGCTCCATGTTAAGAACCCTGCCAAACCTTGCCCTGTATGTCTCTTCATTTGTATCCTTTTTACTTAAAACTGTTAATTTTAAGTACAGCACTTTTGTGAGTCATTCTAGCAAATGACTGAACCTGAGGGAATAGTGGAAGCCAGCAGGTCAGAAGAGAGGGGGGCTGGGAACCCTTGAGCTTAGTTAGAGGAAACGTCCAAAACTGTAACCAACAGGTCAGAAGTGAGTGAGCTGGTGGTGCCGCTGAGCTTGTGGCTAGCATCCTGAAGGGGTAGTGAGAAAACCCAGAATTTGGAGCCAGCAGGTCAGAAGTGAGGTGTCATGGGGACTCCCGAACTTGCAGCTGGCATCTGAGGTTTTGGAAAGTCTTGGCCGTCTGGAGGACTGTGCCCTATAACTTGTGGGTTCTGACCTGGCTCCGGGTGGTTAGGGGCAGAGGAGGAAGTGCTGCCTGTGCAGCTGGTGTCAGAAGAGAAGTGGACCAGAATTGAACTGATTTAAACTGATTAACACAATTTGGTGTCAGAGAAGTGAGATGTGGGGTTTTGATTTGATTTGTCATGTAGGTACTTACAGTGAATCCCAGCATTTTGTAGTCCTTGGTGTACATGGCTTTGCGCTTTTCGGTCCCACTCCCAGTGACGCTGCTAGGGTCTGACTCTGCATCAAATGCAATCCTCCTTAGTTCGAATATGATGTCTCTCTGAGCCTGAGAGGCGAAACAGACAGTTAGCAGGTCACTCAGCTAACCAAGGGGAGCACGGAAAAGAAATGGTAGGCCAGGCTTTTCCGGACAGAATGCTGGCCCCGATCGATCTCCGAGGAGGGGTCACCACTACCACAGCAGGACAGAGATGGTCCTGGCACACAGAAAGCCAGCTGGCAGGAGCCGATCATGGGGAGGCCCAGGTTTTCCAGAGCAGGCACAAACCATTTTGCAGACAAAAATCAAGCACAGGCCCTAGTACACAGCAGGTGCTCCATACATGTCTCTGAATAAACCAGGGGTGGAATGCCCCACATTCACAAAAAAACATCCCACAACTTAAGCCAGGAGAGCTCTGCCCCACCTAGCACCTACCTGGTCATTGGGGTCCATCTTGGTCATCATCCTTTCCTCCAGAAGGTTAAAGGTCAGGACTTGTAAGACATACAGCTGATGGGCCATCTCAGTTTTGATTGGGCGGTTCCCTCGGATCACATGCTAGAAAAAGCAAAGGCAGGGAACAGAGGGTTGAACTGAAGAACCAGATCATGCTAACCAAACCAAACTTACTGCTGTGGAGTCGATATGCTAGCGAAAAGGAAAGTATACTAGGCAAGGAACAGAGCTTTCCTCCCCCACACAGGGACTTCATGTTCTAGGAAGGGGACGGCTAGTGAAGGAGCTGGATTCAGGCAGATGATCCCTGCAGACCCTGAGGGCACCACCCCTCTCCTGCACTCCTTGGAGAATGGAAGGCAGATGCCTCACCCTCCCCACAAGGCTGGGGGAGGCTGCCCTGTTAAGATTATGATAAGGGAGATTATGATAAGGGAGACCTTATAATCAGGTCTGGACCTTTCTCCAATCAGATACCTCACAGGACTACTGAATCCAAGACAACAGATAGTTTGCATGGAGGAAGATTCCGCTGCAGAATTGGACAGAACAGGTCTTTTATTTTTCCTTACAGAAATGAAATGTCTTGGATGGCATCACCACACAGAGGCTTCAGAAAAGGTCATTTTCTTTAAGTAATACTGACACATCTACATGAAGGGGGAACACCTAACTCCTCACCCAGCTCTGTCACACTGCCCTCGTTCCCTCCATCTCTCGTATGCTGTCCCCCTCCTGTCACTCTGTGTATGTCCTCCCCACTCTCTCTGTGCCCTCCTCCACAGTCCTCTCAATCTATCACCTCCTCCCTTTGTCCCTCTGATACCCGTTAGGTCCCCTCCTCTTCTCTCATGCTCTGTCTCTTGCATGCTACATCTCCCTCTGTCTCTCCTGGTAGATCAATGTTTGATTATGTTCTTGTCTCTCCCTATCTTGTTCTCACTCCCACAATATCCTCCTCTTTCCTTCTTGCTCCACTGTATTTCTCACTCCCTGTCCGTCTCACCCACCACCTTAGGTCCTGTCACTGTTCCTTGTCACCTAAACGAGACTCCTGCCCAGTTTCCCTCATGTTCTCTTATTCAATCTAGCTTTATGTCTCTAGAGTTGTGCTGTGCAATATGGTAGGCATTAGCCACATGTGACTATCTGCATTTAAATCAATTAAAATTAAAGTAAAAAAATTAAGTTCCTCAGTTGCACTAGCCAAATTTCAAGTGCTCGATAGCCACACATGGCTAGTGGCTACCATATTGGACAGCGCAGCTACAGAAAATTTCCATTATCACAGAAAGTTCCATTAGACAGCACTGCTCCAGATCTCTCTCATTTGAGATCATATCTTTCAGAGCACACTCCAACTTTAGATCAGCTCTCTCTGGACTTGCTCTGGCTCTAGGTCAATCTACTGAGACTTGCACTGTCCAGTATGGTAGTCACTAGTCAGTCACCTGTGGCTACTGAACACTTGAAATGCGGCTAGTTCAAATTGAGATGTGCTGCAAGTGTAAAATACACTCAGGATCTTGAGGCCTTAGTATGAAAACAGAAAATGTAAAGTATCTCATTAATAATTTTTTAATATGATGACATGTTGAAATGATAGTACTTTAGATATACTGGGTTAAATAAGATATACTGTTGAAATTAATTCCATATATTCCATTTTACTTTTTCTTACTGTCACTATTAGAACATTTACAATTACATATGTGCCTCGTTATATTTCCACTGGATGGCACTGCTCTAGACCGCTTCCTCCCACTGTGTGACTCCAGAGCTCTCTCCCTTTCTCTGTCTCTTTCTTTCTCTAGATCTGCACTGCCCAATACAGTAGTCACAGGCCACAGGTGGGTCCTTAAGTATAAACTGAAATTAAATAAAATAAAAAATTCAGTTCTCACTAGACATAGTTCAAGCGCTCAACAGCCATTCATGGCAAGTGGCTACCATTTTAGACAGCACTTCCATAACTGCAGAAAGTTCTACTGGACAGTGCCGCTCTCACTCCGTCTCTAGTGTGTCTGAATGCGCTTGAGCTCCCTCTCTGCCCTGACCTCCCTCTGAATCTGGGGCTGTTGCCAGCCCTCTCTAGCTGCCCCCACCAAGCCCGCCTCTGCACTCCCTCTCTCTAGAGCATGAGTGCTCTCTTCCTAGCTCAGTCTCGGTATTTCTCTCAACCTCCCCACACCTGCTTTCTCATTCTCAGCTCTCAGCCCTCCTCCTCCTCCCTTAGTTTCCCTTCCCTTCCTCTTCCTCACTGCCCACAGTCTTTTCCCTCCCATTGTTACTGCCTTTTTTTCAATTGTAGTAAATATACATATAAGTGTATATATATACATGCACACATACATACATATACATATACACCTTTATATATAAGTATATATAAAACATTTGCCATTTCAACCATTTTTACATGTACAATTCAGTGACGTTCATTACATTCTCCATGTTGTGCAGCCGTCACCACTATCCATTTGCAGATTTTTTCATCACTCTTAACAGAAACTCAATGCCCCTTAAGCAATAACTCCCCCTTCCTCCCTCCCCTCGCCCCTGGTAACCATGAACACACTTTCGTCTCTATTCATTTGCCTATTCAAGATATTTCATATAAATCATATAATATTTGACATTTTGTGTTTACTTTATTTTTATTTCACTCAGCATGGTATTTTCAAGGTTCATCCATGCTGTAACATGTATCAGAGTCCATTTCTCTTTATGGCTGAATAATATTCCATTGATGTATATAGCATATTTTGTTTATCCAGTCATCTGTTTCCATTTCTACTTCTTTCCCCTCCTCCACGCTCCTGCTCTGCCTCACTCTGAGCTGTTTCCTCTGTCCCTCCCTCTCTCTGCGGTTCCCTCTCTCTGCCACTCCCCGATCTCTGCCTGCCTATCTCTATTCCTCCTGCCTCACCTCTCTCTATAATTCATAGAACAGCTTTGAAGGGAGGCTATAAGTTAATGTGATACCAGTTTTCATTCACTTTAATCTCCCTTTCTCAAACTTACTGACATCATGCTGGAAGGCAATTAATTACTCTAGCCATCAGTGGCTTAGAGAAGTACAGCTCCAGACAGATAAGCTACAGTTTCAGAGGTGTTATCTGAAGCCTTACTTGAGGCCTCAGTTATCTGGCTTGACTCAATTAAATCCCTGGACTTAACCGAGCATGCATTAACCATTTCCTGGCAGGCCACTGAAGTCCTGACACTGAATTGTCTTCAATAGTGGGATCTGCTTGTTTACAAGGCTTGTCCAGAAATGAGCCCAAAACTTCTAGCCCCATTAAAGTAAATAAGTCTGAAATGTAATTAAATTTCCCCCAGAAAGGCGGTGTGCCCCGCATATGCATAGGACAGCTGCTCAGGTGTGTAGACAGGAATGCATGGGAGTCTGGGCACACCCCCTGGGGCTCAGGCTCTGACATTTGCTCAGGGCCCCTCCTGCCATGCTGGCAGTTGGCTGTGACCAGGGAAGTGACCAGTGGGGAGAGCCAGCTCTGCAGGGTCAGGTCTGGCAGGCTCCGCATGTTAGAGCAGCTCACTGCTCAACTTCACAAGCACGCAGAGCTGACTTCAGGAATCCCATCACCTTTGCATCCTGTTCACAGTAAAAGAACTGCCAATTTGAGTGGTGTGCTCACCGAGTGCCAGGCACCCTGCTAAGCAGTGAATATATATTAGCTCATTTAGTCCTACATCCAGATGAGCAAATCGAAGCCCAGAGAAGTTAAGTGAATTGCCCAAGATTAAAGATTGGTAAATGGCAGAATGGGGGGTTGGCTGACTCCAGAGTCATATTCAGAATTAATAAGTCTTCCAAACTTGACTCCTGATTTCTCATTCTATTTCTTTCACTGTGGTCTCCTGGATTTCCCCTGTTTTTGATAACTGATAAAATGGTTTCCTTTTAATCCAGACCTTGGGTCCCTTCCCCAGCTGCCCTCCAAATTTTGGAGTTGTGGAGCAACAAACAGTATAACTGGCCTGAGTACCTCCCTGGAAGCTCTGCCAATTCCTGGTGGGATGGCCTCCAGAAGACAGCTCTCTTTCAGGGGATTATGAAGACAGCTTTCCAGCTTAAGAACTGTTTAGAAACTAATGGTAAATTCCCTCTGTGTGTCTTCCCGAACCTCAATAGTCATTTCAATAATAATAATAATGCAGTAAGTATAATAATAATAATTACGATTAATAGTAACAATAACTATAAAATACAGTGTGTTCCAGGCACTTACATTCAGGATTATGGACCGAAGGTGCTTCTGTGCAAATGCATTGGCCATATCCTAGAGAAAAATGAGCAGATATAAGACAAGCGGCAGACACACTTCTTACAGTGATCAAGAGGAAGGTGACGTTATAACCTGTGGGCTTTTTCTCCTTCTCAATTGTTTTTTTTCTTTCAAATAAAGGTGGGCAAAGGGAAGAATATCCACTGACCGTCAAGCATATTTATACTCTGAAAAATTCCCTCACATTTTCTATGAGTGGGGTTTCCCTTCCAGTGCATCATCTTCAAAGAGAGATGTCTATTCCAGGACTAGACCCTCGTGTCACCAGGGTGTGGGGTGATGGACACTGCATGGTGAGCACACAGAAGCACGATGGTTCCAAGCCACATGCACCCTTCCAGGTAGATGCCCAATGCCAGCGCTGGGAGAGGCTCTTAAAAAGCACTCGCCTCAAACTGAGGAAAGGGCTTTGGCCCCAGCCACCTGCCCTTGCCCCCTGCACCACCCCATTACCCAGAGCTGGGCACGGACACTCAAACAGTAAGTCCGTGATTCACTTCTAGCAGGGCTAGAGAACAGCGTGTTGGGTGCTTTTGGGTAATTTTTTCACAATAGGTTCACCTTTTCAATTACATTTGGCTCAGATTTTGACAGTGCTGCTTTATTTATGTAGTGCACTCGGGAAATAAAAGTATCCTACGTAAGTGAATTTGCCAGGGAGTGAAGCTTTAAGGGTCTTCTCAGAACTAGTCATTATTTTGACTATTCGTATGCAAATATTTTAAAAATATGTCATACACATTTCTTTATTTCTGGAGAGATTACAATGATTATAATTTAATCACTGCCAAGGGCTTGGCTTCATCAAAAAGAACATCAGTTACTCTTCTGTATTGTGAAATTGTAATACCCTGAGGAGCTATTGAAACAGGAAGCTATTTCCCCTAAACAAAATGGTCCCAGATTACTACACTTTTAATTTTTCTGACAGCTTTTCATAATTCTTCTCTCTTCTCCTTCTGATGTCAGCCATCATTTCTTACTAACATTAATTAGTATGACTTCACTTTCTAAACTGCTGTCTTAATTCCATTTTAGAGATAATTCTAAATCAGTGGGCCTGAGGGAGCTATTCTCCTCCCCCCTGGAGTAACATCCACAAGCACTGTCATTTTCCTCTGACAGGCCTTTCTCTTTCACTTCTAGATTTCTAGCCATAGTCCATTAAGTTTTACTTTGCATTCCCTGAGCACATACTGCTGGCAAAGGAAGGTGGCCTAGAAACTTCTGTGGTAGTTATAGGAGGCCAACCTGAGATTAAATCTTGCTGTGGACAACTCACAAAGTGGAAAACTAACAGTGGTCTCTAGCTCTAATATAACGGCCTCAGACCAAAAGCTTCTCTGTGGTACCAGGGGAAAAGCACTTATCTTTACATCCTCACAAAGGTGACCTCTCTAAAACACCCTCTGACCAAGAAATGAGCATCCAAACTCTCTTTTATCAATTATCTAAACCTTTCAAACTGCCACGGTCTAGCAAGAGTCCAAAAAGGGCCTGGATTTACCTTACTCTTTTGCTATAGCAAGTTGAAAGGCGAGGCATCTGTGGTGTCATCAAGATAAAAGTCACAGGCTATTTCTGAATCTGATCTCCACTGGCTGAACCACAGACCCATGTAAAAGCAAGTTACAAAGGGAAGACTGGGCCCCGTTCCTTGGGAAAGGCATCCCCTTCATCCTTTACGGGACTCTAATCTGTAGAACTTCCCTAAGCATCCTGACAGATGAGATTTACCGCATATAACTTTCCCTGTATCTTTGGTCCCCTGAACATCTACGTCAGACTGTGAGATTCTTGCCCAGCTCTGGACCTCCCCACCTGGAAGGGAGCTGGGGCCCTTTTCACATGGCGATGCTACTTACAGTGACAGGCAGGTCTAGAGGATTAAGGTGCTTGTCCTGCCAGCAGAAAGCAAAAGCACAGAGAGAAGCAGACGGAAGGATGAGCTTTCAGCTTACGTTCAAACAAGGACGGGGAAGGAAGAGATTAACAGAGCAAAGCTATCCAAGAAAGACAAGGACAGACAGAACCACAGACGCTCCTGGTCCTCCCACCAGAATCTACCAAGAATTTGGTACGTGAACCCACATGGATTTCAACTTACAGAGCCCATGATAAAAAAAACCAAAACCAAACCTGTGGCCATTGAGTGGATTCCGACTCATAGTGACCCTACAGGACAGAGTAGAACTGCCCCTTAGGGTTTCCAAGGCCGTAAATATTTATAGAAGCAGACCACCGACCTTACAATTGGCAGATGAGCGCTTTAACCACTGTGCCACCAGGGCTCCCTCATTATCCCTCATCATCAGAGCCCATGATACGGACAGAGAATTAAGAAGCCTTACTTTTGTACATTACTTGGGCTTTTATCAGAGAAATATGGAATGTTAGTGTTAGAAGGACCCTTAGAAATCACTCAGTGTGGCTCTTTCCCTTTACAGAAAGAGAAACTGAGACCCTGAGAACGTAAAGTACCTGCCCAGCCAGTGGCAAGAAAAGGACTTGACCCTAGGCCCCCTGACTCTTAGATCAGTGTTTGTCCCACTGCCCAGCTGATGCCTAGTTTCCTCATTGGTAAAATAGGGGTCTGGTTTTTCCTCGTGATATCCTTGTGAGGTAAGCAGGGGAGATGTTGTTCCTTCCATATTACAGGGGAGGAAACTGAGGTTCAGAGAGGCAAAGCAGTTTACCTAACATCACAGCTGATTAATAGGAGAAGACAGAAGATCAAAACCTGAATCTGAGCACTTTTATACATAAAACTTAGTGCTCAGTCCCTCCACTCTTGCTTCTGCAAGTAAGGACCTCATTTGTTTTGATTCCTTTAGATTCAACAGTGATGCCCAGAGGTTCTCCTCTCCCTTCTTCTTGATCCTCTAACCCAGGGATTGGCAGACTATGGCCACATTAGGCCGTTTTGTATATAAGGTTTTACTGGAAGACAGCCATGCCCATTCCTTTATGTATTGTCTATAGCTGCTTTTAGCTACAATGGCAGTCTTTGCCCAGAGACTGTATGGCCCACAAAGCCAAAAATATTTACTACCTGGTCCTTTAAAGATAAAGTTTTCAGGCTCCTGCTCTGCTCTAAGACCCAGCTGGTCTCCCCTCACAGGCCCTCCCCTGATCTTTCTTAACAAAGCTACCCCACTGGGCTCTGACCACAGAGGGACAGGAGGAAGGAATCTCAGGGAAATGGCTGGATTTCAGCTGTCTGCCCAGCAAAGGGGGTGGCGGGGGGGGGGAGGAGGAGGGAGGAGAGAATTCTTCTCTTAGAAGAGCCCAGATGAAAAAGCTTGAAAAGGCAGCCACAGACCTGTCGCTTGTCCTCAGGAGCCTTCAGAAAAAGTGCGTTAATCAGTGCAATGGCGTAGGTCTGAATCTCCTGGTTGGAGCTGTGTCAATGCAGAAAGAAGGCAGAGGGAGATTAGAAGACTTCACAACCAGCTGATGCTTAGAGAGGGTTTACAAAAACCCCTGGCAGACTGGAATCATATAGTGCTCTGGGGCTGCGTCTCAAAACCCTTAAAAGTGGGCGTAATCTTTGACCCGGCAATTCCACTGACAGGAATTTATCCTAAGAAAGTCATCAGAGAGGCATGCAAGATTCATTGACAAGGGGTTTCACTGAAGCACTATTAAAGAAAGAGCAGTAAGTAACCTAAATGTTCACATTAACAACTCTGTTATGGATATTAGAATCCTAAGTAGTTGTTAAAAATCATGTTCTAGGGTAAAGGGTTTTAACCGCGGATTCAGGGATGGGCTTAGAGGATCTTTGAGCCCCAAAAATGGTGCAGAAAAGTTTTCTAAGGAGGTCTATAGCTGTCACCGGATTTTCAATTTAGGATTCCTTTTAGAAGCAGCTTTGACATGAGGAAATGTTTAGGATACAGTCAGTAAAAAATCAAGGTATACATAATATGGTCAGTAAGATTCCAATTTTGTTAAAAATATGCATAGAAAAACAGATGGGAGGGATATTTAATTTAATGTTAACAGTGACAATGTCTGGAAGTGGGATAATGGGTGACTAACCGACTTTTTGTGCTTTTTCTGTGTTTTCAAAGTCTTTGACTACTAACTTATCTTACTTTATTTTAAACAAACAAATAAAATAACACCAGCCATTCTCTGGAATCCTATAGGCCTGGGGGCAGACACCTAAAATAGCCCTGGCACTTGACAAGATGTGTTCACCTGCCAGGCAGCAGGGACATTCTGAGGCTCTTGATAAAGGGGCTGGTGGATTTCCAGGCCAGGCAGGGGACACGCTGATATCCAATGAATGGCACTGCGTGTCCCTCAGTCCAAACAGCAGAGAGCGTAATTTCCCATGACAGCCGTGGGGCCGAAAGTATTCACTGACTGACTCCTAAGAAATGCCATGTTCCTCTATCATCCTTAGAGAGGTGACTGGGATCATTTCCAATTCAGAGACAAGGAAACAGCGAGGTGGATCAGAGGTCACAGGAGATTAGAACTCTCTCCTCTGTTGTTTATAATGTCCTTCTCAACCCAATCACCCTTTTGGGCTCTTTGGGTATGAAAGCTGAGGTTGAAGAACCCCTTAATAGTGACAGGTAGAAATCAGAGCTGTAAATACAAGAAAAGAAAGTGGAGAGGGCAAGTCTTGTGTTTTTTTACTTGGATCAATGGGAAAGAACAGGTTGGAAGCACTGCTGAGTGTAGAGAGGGCTACCACAGACTCTCAAATCTGAGCACTATTGCTTCCCCTGGAACTTGGCTTTACCTCCAGGATTCAGTCAATGTCCGACACACTAAAGGGGAGCAAGAGTCCGGAGAGAATCACAGTAGTACTACCCTTATTTTGGGAAGTCCAGTCTCCCTTACATTCTGTAGACGGTTGAAAGTGAAGTACAAAGAGTGGAGAGAAGAGCAGTGTTCCAAAGGGTTCATTTGTCTGCCGGTTTTGTTTATTATCTATGGGGCAGTTCTACTCTGTCCTATAGGGTCTCAACAACAAAGTATTTTAGGATGTGATAAGCTTCTTAAAAAACAAACAAAAACAAAAGAAAACCCTGAATTTATGTCTACCCTGTGCTGACCACTGTGATAGGCCCTTTCCATCTCCTCTGTTCCTCATAAATTTGAGAAGTGAGGATGATTACCCCAGCCTACAGATGAGGAAACTGAGGCCAGAAGAGATTTCATAACTTGCTGAAGGCAGAGAACCAGTATGCAGTGAAGCCTGGGTTTGAACTGGTATCATCCTGAACTTGGGTCCTGTATGATAACTCTTGCTACCTTCCACAGCATATTGTGCAGAAAACATTCATTCAACAAACACGGATTGAGCTTCTACTTAATTCAAAGCAGTGGCTACAAAAAAGAATGGTCCCGGTCCTCAGGGAGCTCAAGGTTTAACATGGGAGAATGACAATGAAAATACAGCATTTCATACAAATAGTATACTAGATATAAACAGAGATCAGTGGTCCCAGCAAGGAAAAAGCATTTGGTACCAGGGTGGTATGAGAAGGCTGGGAAAAACTTCACCTTATCCTGCGGACCAAGGAGACTAGCTGAGTTGTTAAGCAGGAGCATGACTTGATCAGGTCTGAGTTTCAGGAAGAATCTGGCAGTGGTGTGGAAGAGGTGGTGAATGAATGAGCAAGCAGACCAGCTGCTTGGAACAGAAACAAAGCAGAGGAAGGCCTGCGAGACTTAAAATAAGAGCAGAGACAAGTGAAGGGAGGTGGGGCAGGGTCCTTACTCACACCTGAAGGTGGGAGATGAGCTGTCCCACGGTGATTTCCTCTGCTATCTTCTGGTACAGACTCTGGCTGTTCAAGACCATGCTCTCCAGGATGGCCAGGGACCTCTGAAGGATTGACACGTCCACCATGGGCTGGCTTACGTACCCTGCGATCTAAACCCAGAGGGAGCAAGTCAGCTGGGGAGCTCAGGGCCCAAGAGAGCTGGATGGCTGGGGAGTCTGATGTTAGCCCTTGAAAGCTCCCTCCTTGTAGACCTATGCCTAAATTTGGACAGTTATCCACTAGGTCAGTGGACAGATTATTCACTGGCTTCAGTTCAGTTTTCTGAATTGACACTGCCCCTTGTTGTAGAAGAAAAGACGGCAAAATAAGACGTACTCTTAACTCTCTCCTGCCCACTGAGTTCAGTCTGACAATTGAAACAGGTGGATAGTGGTAGCTGGTTTATGGCTATCCTGGCCAGTGTGCCAGAGATCCCCAGGCATTGATAACTCAGTTTCAGATCACAGTTTCCAACCCACATGCTTCCTCAAAATCTAAGGGTTCAGGTGTGGAAAAGCTGAGTGTAGAAAGCAGAGGATTTCACTGATACTGGGATTTTATTTCACCTACATGTACTCTATTCTCCTAACACACACTTTTGCCCTATACACATCCCAGATTTTGAAAGGTGGAATGCACCTTTAAGTCTTCAATATAATCCCTCTTCTCAGTCACTATTATAATAACCTTGACACATGGTCATTTCACTTATGCTCAAATATCTCCAGTGTCAGGACATTCCCAATGTTGCAGCTCAATGACAGGGCAACTCAAGGTCAGTGGATACATAATTTACTGGCCTTAGTTTAGTTTTCTGAATCAACACTGCCACTTGTTGCAGAAGAAAGAGGGCAAGATTAGAAGTACCTTTAGCCCCCCACCTGCCCACTGAGTTCAATCCGATAATCCAATCAGGCTACCTTTCAGATTGGTAAATAGGGAGGCAAATGAAATTGATATTCTTTATCTGATGAGAAGGGGAAGCTTAGAAGCAGGCCAGAAGACTTAAGGGTGGTGCTGGGTGACTGGCTGGTTTTATTCCAAGTCTCGCTAACAACCCAATCCTGCTCTGAGTCTGGTCAGTCCCAAGAGCCCAGATCCATTTTCCGAGTGCAGGCCTGAGAGTGTAACGAAGTGGAATGCTTTCAGGAGCCACAGGAAGGCTAGAGGCTGAGGATGAAAAATCTGGCCCCAATGAATATGAAGCTGACCCTCACTAGAAAGGCTGTATTTATTGCCCATATCTCCCCTTAAACCCAGAGAACAAGTGGCAACTGAAAGAGGAGGGAGATAAAGAATGTTGGAGGCCTCACCTGCTTAATAAAGGTGATGGAAACCATGTCCCAGGAGACAATGCCATGGTCCATGAGCTCTAAGAAGGCAGTCAGGGTGAATGCCAGCATCTCACTGTAGCTGAGACACGTGCAAAATACACACAAAACAATACACAGATTCAGAACCAGGAACCCAGGAGTGAAGACAGTCACAACTGGGACGTTTCACCTGCGAAAAGTCAGTGGAGGACCTGAGGATAGCTGCCTGCAAGCACACTGAGCCTGAGGTGGATCCAAGTCTGCCCAGAGGAAAAGGCTGCTGGGTGAAAAGGCTTTCCTCTTCCATACTGCCTCGTCTCAGGGAAAGAGAGTCACTTACCTATTTCCTGAGGTCAAAAAAGGTACCAGACCTTTGTCAAACCCCAGCACTTGTTAGGGGTACCTATGGGAGCTTACGTCCACACAAACCTTTAGTCCAAGAGGCAGCAGGTGCAGGAGAAAAGAGTGCAAGTTTTGGATGTGGGTTCAATTCCTACTCAACCATTTACTGACCATGCGAATTTTACCTTTTTGAATTTCAATTTCTTCCTGTGTAAAACGGAGTCAATCTCACAGAGTTAACCTCAGGTGGCTGTGGTGAGGGCAAGATGATGACAATGTATGCAAAGCCCTCAGTGCTGGCAGAGAGAGGGACTAGATAAAATGTTCTCTCTCCTTTGTCTCTCCTGCTTACATATATCATCCTTTTATGTCTGTACTGTGCTCTATAATTAACAAACCATACTCCCATTTACAAAGCATGTTTGGATACACTGTCTTACTAACAAAACACCTCACAACAACACCGCACGGTAGGTACTATCATCCCCATTTTAAAGAGGAGGAAACTAAGGCCAGTCCACTTGTGTACTCTCAGGAGACTGCACAAATCCTGCGTCAGTGCAGGCAGCAGCCCGAGGCTTCAGGACTTCAATGCAGCTCAAGGATCCAAGACTTAAAACAAATAGCCGCGATTAGTTGCTCAGGTTGGCTGAAAATTTCAATAGCTGATGCATCAACTGAAAGAAGATTTCTGACTCCCTCGCTGTCAGCTCAGGCTCCACATGCTTAGGTGGGAACCTAAGACATCTGTTTATTCACTGCTGATCACAAGGCATAGCTTCCCATCTCATTCTTCTTAACACTCCGGGGTATTGTAAAGATGTCCTTGGTGTATAGCAAAGTTCTGAATCTCCTCCTCCCTGTGAAAATGTGTGGCAGGGAGATGGGGAATGGGTAGGGGGGTAACTTGCGGTAAATACAAAGGAAGGCTTGTGCTTGTTTGTGTGTGTGTGTGCGTGTGTGTGTGTGTGTGCACACGCGCGCGTGCGCGCGCGTGCATATATACGGGGTGGGGAGGTGATGGGGAGGGAGGGAGTCGCTAAGAAGAGATAGACACCTATACTGGTAGATAATGGGCAGGCAATCTGCTCACTAACCTCCACTGGGCCAAACATCTTCCACAAATTAACAGGTCTGTCCTGGATGACCTCTGTTCCCTGACTTGGATAGCACCTATTTTTACTACTCACTTGGCATTTAGTCACGCGTTGTATTACTTAATTTGTGAGAACCTGTATTGTCTTCCCAACAAGACTACAAGATTTAGGACCATGATAGTGAATTATACCACTCTGTGTAGACCCTAAGGAGCCCCAGTGGTGCAGTAGTAGGCGCTCGGCTGCTAACTGAAAGGTCGGCAGTTCGAACCCACCAGCTGCTCTGTGGGAGAAAGATGTGGGAGTCTGCTTCCGTAAAGATTACAGCCCTGGAAACCATATGGGGCAGTTCTACTCTGTCCTATAGGGTCGCTATGAGTTGGAATTGACTCAACAGCAATGGATTTTTTAAAGAGTGTGGACACTAGTCCACTGCTCTGTATATACAAGGTAAGCATTCTTGTTTTTGACTCAGTGGAAAATGAGAACAGGATGCCCTGCGGCATGTGGTAAATCTTTGAAAGCCCCAGGGACATAATACTTACTGGGACAAAAGCTTGGTTCCACTCTCCACAAGCCGTGTGAGCATGATGATGCCATCCATGTTGATGAACTCTGTAGCAAAGGTCACGTCAGCAGAGAGCTTGGCCAGCTCCTTCATGGCATCCAGCCGGGTCTCCATGCTGGATGACTGGGTCCTTTCCATCAACTGGCGTGCGGCCCGGGACTGTGAAAGCAGGGACAAGATCTATGCCATCTGCTCCTTGTGGCAGGTTACCACTCTGGGATAGCTCAGAGGGGCCATTCTGGGGATAGCCAGGCCTGAGGCAGAACTGGTTTTTCACATTGCTTCCCAACCCAAACCAAACCTACTGCTGTCGAGTAGATTCTGACTCACTGCAACCCTATAGGACAGAGCAGAACTGCCCAATAGGGTTTCTAAGACTAATCTTTATGGAAGCGGACTGCCACATCTTTCTCCTGCAGAGTGGCTGGTGGGTTCACACTGCCGACCTTTTGGTTAGCAGCTGAGTGCTTTAACCACTGTGCCACCAGGGCTCCCTTCACACTGGTTAGGAGTTGCTAATATTTATTAAATCATTCAGGGAATTAATTACTGATGTGCCAAGACCAATGTGTAGTTATCTGTATCCTTTCTGTACCACTCTGGTCTATGGATTAACAAAATTCCCATTAAGGGAACACAAGAGTGACCTGAGAGATGACACTTCCACTAACTATGGCAAGTCACAGAGAAAGATATTGGTTCAATATAGGAGAGTGTTCTATTAATTAAAGCTGCCAGACGGTAGAACGGGTTGCCTCTTGAAGTACTGAACTCCCTATCACTGGAAGCAATCAAGTAGAATCTGGACAACCATCTGTTAAAGATGTTATAGAAGGGATTCTTGCACTGGATGGAGAATTTAATAGATAACCTTTAAGGTCCTTTTCTGTCCTAAAACGTGATAAGCCTAACAATTTTTTTTTTTTTTTAACTTTCTCACAAAGGCCCTATCAATGTTCCTCAAAGTGAAAGCCCTGGGGGAAACTTCAAGAATATCAAGAAGCCTGAAACACTTAACTTCAAACAGTTTTTTGAAAACGTTGGTTGGTTAAAGCAAAACCTCCTACGACAAGAATTTTTCCTAGCCAGGAGGTCTGCCTCCTTTCTGCAAACTGCAGCTAAAATCCCTCTGCTAGTGTTCATCGATCTTTCCTTTTGCTGAACTTAAAGTCGTGCCTCACAATCTACTGTTTCATCATTCTCTACTTTGTGTGTGTTAATTGAAGGTTCTCAGTGAGAATGGAGGAGCAAAAAGGGCACACACTGTTTACACTTGACTCCAACCTAAAGGTTGGCAGTTCAAACCTACCCAGAAGTGCCGCGGAAGAAAGGCCTCGGGATCTGCTTCCATAAAGATTACAGCCAAGAAAACCCTATGGAGCAGTTCTACTGTATAACACAGGGGTTCATCATGAGTTGGAATCAATTTGACGGCAATCGATAAACCAGTAGAGAGCAAAAACGCTACCGCAAGCTTTATTTTTTCTCACATTGCTTGAGTGTGACTAGAGCCCAGTTCCTGTTCCTGGCCAGGGAGTCAAGGCCTGCCCATCCCTTCCCCCTCTGCCTTTCTCTTCTCTTCCACCATTACAACAAAGGCTCTGAAGAGCACACTGCTCTCGATGGTGCAGAAGTCCCCCGGTATCTCTAAGGTGAGAAAATGTGCTGCATGAGGAAAGGTCACTACACAGAACGATTGGAAGAGCACTGGTCTGCATCTCACTTAGAAACTTCCAACTCCAAATGTCAATTTTCCTCCTGAGACAGCATTTCTGGGCTGCTGCCTCCCGCTCCGGGAAAGATGTGGTTCGGTGAAAGTCAACCATTTCTCGCAAGAGGTCTGTAAAATGCTTTGGCGCTTCTGTAAAAATAATTCCCAGGCTGTCATACTAAATCAGCAGAGCTTAGGAGGGAAGAATGAAGTCTTTAAGATGAGAAGAGGGAGGCAGAAGGGTATGATGGCGGGAATACTGGCTTAGAGTCAGACAGACTTGGGTGGGAGAGCCAGGTCTGCCACTTTTTAGTTGTACGACAAGTGGCAAGTTATTTCACCTTCCTAAGCCTCAGTTTCCTTGTCTGCAAAATGGGGATATCAAGAGTATCCATCTCATCAGGCGTTTGTAAGGATTAAATGACATAATATACGCAAAGTACTTAGCGAAGTACATGCAAATGTTAGTTGTTATTAAAGAACGAAGCCCTTAAAGCCACATCCTGGCCTGCTGTTAGGTACCGTCAAGCTGATTCTGACTCATAGCCTCCCCATGTGACAGAGCAGAACTGCCCCATAGGGTTTTCTAGGCTGTAATCTTTATGGAAGCAAATTGCCAGGTCTTTCTCCTGCAGAACTTCTGGGTGGGTCTGAACCGCCAACCTTTTGGTTAGCAGCCAAGCACTTAACCGTTTGTGCCACCAGGGCTCCTTACATCCTGGCCTAGGAGCACCTATATTCAGGCCTTTCTGGAGAAAACTTCATAGCCAAGCAGAGCGGGGGCCGCCATGAATTCACGGTAACAGCTTCTGCAGGGCGAACGGTTCTCGTTTCATTCTCCTCCAGGGTATTCTAAACGTTTACCACTTTCTAACACATCTTCACTTCCCTTCCTCTCAGATGACCCTGGCTTCCTCTTCACCGAGGAAACAGGGGCCACCATGTCCTTACTTTTCTGGCAGTCCTTCAACAAAGTAACCAAGCTGCACCACGTCCATCTTCTTCCTTAGGGGCTGAGCAGTCGAGGAGAATCCCCCCACCTGGGCTTGGGGTCCCTCTGTCCTGAACCAGTAAGGTCCTGTTCCATTAACCACCCCTTCCTTCCCACACCTTCAAGCTTCCCCTCTTGACTGGCTCTTTCTTATCATATTTTAAACAGACGCAAGTCTCTTCCATCTTAACACATTTTCAAGGACACATGAAAAAAACTGCAACAGAAGTTACCAACTGTGAAGGGTGGAAGGACTAGTTAGATGGGGACAGGAGTGGGAGGGAAACCTCTCACTATATCTTTATCAAATATTTTGATTTTTGAAACATAGTAATGTTGTATCTATTTTAAAAAAAAAAAAAAAAAAAGCACATCTTTTCAACTCCACTCCCTGCTTGGGTTAGCACCTCATCTACTTCCTTTTATCAACAAGCTTCTTGATCAAGTGACATGCCCACAGTCCCCACTGTTTCACATTTTTTTTTCCTCAACTCACTGCAATCTGGCTTCCACCCAACCACCCCACGAAAACTGTTTTCACAGAGATTACCAGTGAGCCCTTGACTTCTAGGGTCAACAGACAGCTTTTCTGCCTTCAGTTTACTTTCTCTCTCTGCTCATGAGAAACTGCAGACCACATCTTCCCCAGCCTGCAACTCCGTATGGGTTAGCTCCTGAGCCACTCACACTCCTGGTTTTCCTCCTGCCCTGCTGGTTGCTTCCTTGGTCACCTTTAAGAGCTGTTCTTGCTGAAATCAGGCGTTCGTCTTGGACTCTCCCTTTCCTTCCACATCCAGTGTATCACCATATTCATCAAGTTCTCCTCCTAAATATTTTTCATGTCCATCCTTTCATCTCCATTGCATTTGCCTTGAACTCTTAAATGGTATTCTGTCACGTTCCTTCTTTTAGCCTTTCTCCCACACTGTCACTGAAGTGGTCCTTCTAAAACATAAACCTAAACATGACACACCTTCCTACTTAAAATCATCCAATGATCCCACATTTAACTTCAGGATAAGATCCAAACCCATGAGCAGACCATCTAGGAATTTTCACTATCTGGTTTCTCGATGACTGCTCCAGCCCCTCAGCCATCCAGCACTCCTGCCTTCCCCAAACACAGCACAGGCCCCACACCTCTGTGCTTTTGCACATGCTGACCTCTCTGCTTGGAATACGTTTCATTTTCTTCTTTCTCCAGCTAATCCTTGCTTATCCTTCAACATCTGGGCTAAGCATCTCCTTCTCTGGGAAGGGGCTTGATGGTCCCTTTTCTGTGTTCCCCTAGCACCTTAGCAACTTTTTCTCAAGACCCTTGAGAGAGCCCTTGTATAGTATTTGTTTAGTCCCCACTAGACTGCGAGATCAAAGACTGACTTTTTAATCTCTATAGTCCTAGTTTCTAGGAGCCCTAGTGGCACAATGATTAAATGCTTGGCTGCTAATCAAAAGGCCGGTGGTTCAAATCCACCAGCAGCCCCGCAGGTGAAAAGACCTGGCAATCTGCTCCCATAAAAATTTATAGCTTAGGAACCCCTACGGGGCAGTTCAACTCTGTCCTATAGGGTCGCTATGAGTCGGAATCAACTTGACAGCACACGACAACAGCAAGTCCTAGTTTCTGGGCTATGGTAGGTACTTATATATGTTTGTTAAATGAGTGAACTACTAAAGAAGCAGAATACCTACCGGGGAGATGGCCAGCTGTAAGATTGTCCCATTCTTAATGTCACTGCGCGTCTGAGTAACAAAGAGAAAAAAGAATAACATAAAATATGAAAATTGTACAAGCAAGTTGAATCAATAAGAACTTTCTGTCCTTTTTAAAGTAGATGTAAGTGAGACTCTTCAGTCAGGCCTCTTCACCTGCTTGTTCCTTGGCAAAGAGATTCTAAGGTTCTTTCCAAGTGCGCTGGGCTCTCGGGGTAAAAGCCACATTTTTCCAAACAAGGGAAGGCACTGCCCAGTCTGCTCTGGGAGCAGCTCTTTACTGAATAAAGGGAAGCTACCTGGGTGCTAGGTGAGATAAATAGCCGTCTCCTTGCATGGCTCACTTCAAAGCAAGGCCTGGGTCGATTTTGCTTCTCCCTGTACTAACCTGTTCGGTGATGTAGAGCTGAGGACCATCTGCATACCGGAGGGTGTAGTATTCTGGGTTTGGCAATGACCACCTATGCAAAAGAAAAAGCGTACATCCCATTCAGCCATTCCTCTTGGCCTGCCCAGAAGCTGCAAATAAATCATTTTCAATAGAGTTGCTCAAAGGATTAGTGGCCTATACTCAAAGGATGAGTACCCGGGGGAAAAAGCAAAGTTTTAGGTTGAGATGTTGAAGAAATAACCAACTCAGCCTTTGGCAAAGATTAGCACCAAAAAAGGAAGTGCGTACAATTGCGTGTGGGTCTCAGTTCCTACCAGGACCTCAAGCAGGATATTTCTGAACTTAACAGAAAAAAAAATGAAGATTTATAGGAGGTCTTAGGGTCATCCTCATCAACTGTACTTCCTTCTTAAGACCATGATCCATGAAAATTTCACATTCAGGACCTGATCAACTAGAGATCCTTCCAAAGAATTCCCTTCAAGTGTTCCTCTAATCTTTAGCTGCTGTTGTCCAAAATGAGGTAGTTTCAACCTACCCGTCACAAACTTCCTTGATAATGGATGTCAGGGGCAGTTTCTGAAAGACAGAGAGAGATCTTTCATCAGCAATCACATCCTACTCATGCCCAGGTTCTGCCAAGCAGGATCAACTTGGGACCTAAGAATGGACTTATCCCCTGATAACTCTGGTTGAAGAGAAAGCCATGGTGACTGACCTTCCCTAGAGGTATGAGACCCAAAGCTCAGCCTCCTTGCTGCTGGCTCTTAACTCCTGATACCGATGGTCCCTGTCCCTAAGGACAACCTCTGCTATGTTCTCCTCAGACCCCTCCCCCGCAAGACTGCTTCTCATCTCAGGAGCTTACCTGATCGATTTCAAGGAGCTGAGCATTGGCACCTGGCCACTCGATGGCCACTTTGACGATGTCTGATGGTGGTGGCATTGCAGTTTACAATGGGCCCTATCTCTCCAAGACACACACAAACACAGACAAAGCTGCCTGTGGAGAAAGAATCAGAAAGAAAGGAAAAAGTCACAGAGTCCGCCTTCATTTTTCACTCATATATTTTGGAGAATCTGAAGACAGATACTGTCCAAAGTAGCATATGGAACTCCTTGGTTTGAATTTTTCTAGATCCTGACACAACTTCTCCTTGGGCTTTTGTCTCTTCAGATTAAATCAGCAAGTAGGAATGGGACAAATCTATCATCTGCAGATTAGCCAGTAGCAAGATTTGCCAATGCAAGGCTTCAGTTTAAGGGCCAAGAGGCTTCTGCGGTGGAAGAGCATATTTGCTGTCTTGGGACCCCGAGAGGGAGAAGCATATGCTTGGAGACAGAGGAATAGAACAGCCTTTCCCTGGTTGAGCAGTTAGCTAAAGGAGCCAGCCTACTTTCATTCTGCAGTCACCCAGGAAGATCCTGGCGTCAGCAAAGCCCAGCCGCATGATCTCTTGCCTTCTCCCTACTCATTGCTGCCACTCCCTCCCCACCAAAGGACAAAATGTGGAGCCTCCTCTGCATGGGATGACGCAAAGTTCAGAAAATGGGGAAGGGAACTGGGGCAGGAAATGCTATTTTAGTCCCTACTGCCAAGGGCAAGGGCTGTCAAGGGCTGAGAGCAGGGAGGTGAGGATACCCACACACAAAGGGCCTCTATAGGAGGACAAGGCTTTGCAAGGACCCGACCCCCTCCTCCACTTCTCTCCAAAATAAAGGAAAATAAATCACTTTGAGCAAGTCTAGAAGATGGGCCCACGTGACCAGTATCCTAGGCAACTCTGCTAGCTTAGTGGTAGCTAAAGCATTCTCTCTCTAAGATCTGATGAAGGGAAGTCACTCGACTGATGGATTATTTCAATATATATTTACTTTCCTTGCCCACAGGTGCAGGAAAGGCCTCTCTCTTAATGAGAAAGACCTTACTCCTGCACCCTCCAGGTTTAGCCACTCACGCCAGCAATCCACACCTCACGAATGAAGACTGCCTGCCTCTCCAGGCATCCATGGCTGTTGCTAAGCTGTTATTCATGTGTGCTATCAAGTTTTCAGGCCAAACACAGATACAGATGCCAGTTCTTACAGCCAGGGAAGTACAAACCTTTTTGGTGGAAAGAGGTGAACTCTCTGTCCCTACAAACCCACAGGCCTCAGAAAGAGGAAAGCTATCACTATCATTTCCTGATCAGGGTGCGTTGCTTCAGAAGTCAACTGTCAAAACGCCAACACTTCCAGAACACAACAATGTAAAAGTAATGATTTTCAAAGTATTCTCATGTATTTTGTTGAATCTTTCTAGCAGCCCTATGAAGCAGGCAGAACAGGATTATTACCTCCATTTGAAGTTGACAAAGTGAAGCTCAGAGTTGGTATAAAAATGGCATGGGGCGGGGGGGAGGGGAACGGTGTCTGACCTCCTGTAACTTCACAAGAGGGAAGAAGGATCAAGACCAAGATTAACAGCCCAAGGCTGATTCCTATGAGGCAGAGGTCAGACATGCCTCCATCCTCCAACCTTTTTACCAATTCTGACACCATCTGACCCTCCCATGGCATTCTCTACTTCTCTGCTGGGTTCAGTAATTTGTTGCAATGGCCACACAGAACTCACAGACCTCACACACGATTATGGGGCTTATTAGGGAAGTAACAGGTTACAGTTCAGGATCGCGAAATACTCAGGATACAGTTCTTTGATCAGGACAGCCTTTTCTCAGCTGTGCAGCAGGCAGGTCTCTCTCTGGCCCTCGAATCCTTGGCTTCACCTCTGCCTTGCTTGGGCAAGTGTTACAAAGGTCTTTTAGCTTTACTGATAAGTGCCCAGAGGCACCCCACTCCACCAGCAAGCCTCCTGCCTGAAGGCACTCAGCTTTCTTGTTCCGTGGGCTGGGAAGCCTACCACGCCAACTCCTGCTGTTCTCTTGGTTCTGCTGCCAACGTTTCTCTGCTGTGGCTTCTCGCCGTCTCTGTTATTACAGCTCTCCCTCTGTCTTGGTTCTGCTGCCTCTGCTGCCTCTCTCTGTCTTCCGTGTTACAGCTCTGCTCTCTGTCTCCTGGATCTCGGAGGTTATCAGTGCAGAGATCCCAGGTCCAAAGGATGCACTCCACCCCTGTCTCTTTCTTGGTGGAGTTGAGATCCTCTCTTCCGGCCTCTGGGATGGCTCATTTTAAGCCTAGCAGGATGGCAAAACTGACCAATCCCCTCATTAGGGTTTTACACACCTTATTTGCATGGTCCCACCCCCACAAGGGTGCCATGCACCTTATTCACATTGTTAGTAAGCTATCTAATCCCTTTGGTGGGCCACAAGCACCTCATTTACATAGTTCTACCGAGTCATTTGCTGGGAGTTAGAAAGACTATGGCTAGAAGGGCCATATTAAGTAATTCACTGCACCGCAGTTGGGTTAAATACCCAAGTTCACCCAGCTAATAAGTAATAGAGGGGCACAGGACTCAGAGCTGACTCTGGCTGGTCTTGTCCCCTCTCCCTGAGCTAGCCTGAATTTCTGTTCATTGTAACTAAATCTCACCTAAAAAGATCGATTGAAGAGGGGTGGCCTGATGGCCCCTAAAGCTTCCACAATGTCTGCAGCTCTAGGCAAGATTTTCCATTTGTGAATTTTATGTGCCTCCACACATAACAAATGTCTGAAAAGAAAGTGGCCCCTTAAGGGTAACTTCTGGATGAAACACTCTGCCCCAGTGATACAGCAAAGCAGGGAGTTCCCATTCCGGGGTGGTACCATGACTCTCTGGATGTTGTTGCTGTTGTTGGGTGCTATCGAGTTGATTTCAACTCTTCGTGACCCATGTGACAGACCAGAACTGCCCCATAGGGTTTTCTAGGCTGTAATCTTTACTGGAGGAGCCCTGATGTTGCAGTGGTTAAGCACTCAGCTGTGAACTAAAAGGCCAGCAAACCTACCACCTGCTCCACAGGAGAAAGACGTGGCAGTCTGCTTCCATGAAGATTTACAGCCTTGGAAACCCTATGGGGCAGTTCTACTCTGTCCTTTAGGGTCACTATGAGTCAGAATTGACTAGACAGCAGCAGGTTTTTTTTTTTTTTTTTGTAATCTTTACAGGAGCAAATTGCCAGGTCTTTCTCCCATGGAGCCACTGAGTGGGTTGGAATCACAAACCTTTTGGTTAGCAGCTGAGCACTTAACCATTGCACCATGAGGGCTCTTGAGTCTCTGGACGCCTAGGACAGATCACTTAACCTCCTCCAACATCCTTATCCTTTACTGGCAAATCTGCAGTAATTAGGAGGTCTGACTACACAGTTGTGAGATCATTTTTTAAACTGAGATATAATTCACACACAATAAATGCCCAGAGCTTAAGTGTTTGTATACGTATGTGTGACCATCACCCAAAATAAGATATTGAACATTTACATCACCTCGGGAAATTCCCTCATGTCTCTTTCCAGACAATCCTTCAGCTTCCAGCCTTCCAAGGGGCAACCGCTTTCTGACTTTCATTACCATAGATTAGTTTTGCCTTGTTTTTGTACTTTAGATAAATGAAATCAGTACAGTATGGCTTTTTTTGCTCACCACGAGGAGACTGATTTATTTTTAGATCATTTGTTTTTTAGTTTGGTTTCTTCTTTTTAAAATAAGTAGGCAGTATAGATACAATGGAGCCCTGGTAACGCAGTGGTCAAGAGCTAGTGTGCTACAGCTGCTAACCAAAACGGACGGCAGTCGACTCCACCAGCTGCTCCTTGGAAACTCTATGGAGCAGTTCTACTCTGTCCTACAGGGTCACTATGAGTCGGAATCGACTCGACGCTAATGGATTTTTTTTTTAATAGCTACAACAGAAAGAGCAGTGGGCTGGGATGGTTTTTCCCTACTGGAATTAGAACCAAAAACGACTCAGGACCCAATCCCAGTTCTGTCACTAAGTATCCAGCTGATTGTGTACACAGCCCTTCTACCCAAGTATCAGTTTTCTTCTACTGCAGGATGTGAGAGTTGAACTAAAATAAAGCATGTCGAAGGTACCTTCTAAATCTAAAAGTCCATGACTCTAAAAGGCAATTGAAAAACACCTAAATGAGTACTGACCATTTCAAACTTCTCACCAAAAGAAGCTACACCCTTATATTGATGGTGTGGCTTTGAAACAAACACTTTAGGGCGTGGAGGGGGAGGACTCCTTTCTGGATACTCTTTGAGGATACACTGAAGCTCATCGCAAGCCAAAAAAAACCAAACTCATTGCGGTGGAGTCAATTGCGACTCACAGCAACCCTACAGGACAGAGTAGACCTGCCCCATAGGGTTTCCAAGGAACAGCTGGTGTATTCAAACTGCCAACCTTTTGGTTAGCAGTGGAACGCTTAACTACTGCGCCACCAAGGCTCCCATTATGTTATAGTTACCCTTTATTTTGACCCCATATGGCATTTCCTAGGTTGACTGCCTCTTTATCAAATTTAGCGCTGAATGACTCTTGGCTGTTTCCCAAAATTCATATCAATTTTAAAGCATGGGGATTTGCAACCACCAAGTCTATTCAAGAGATCATCAGCCCCCACCTATGCACCCATTCTCAGTGACTCTGCCCTTCCCCAGAGTCCAGGCAGCCAGATTTGTAGTAGATGAGCCCCTCCCCAACCCCACCAAAGCTGATAAGACCGGAGTGAGAACCCAATCTTAGCTGGACTAAGGTCCTCTCTCTTGAACTAAAAGACAGAAACTAAGGGAGTTAGATGACCATGGGCCCTGAAGCAGTAAGGTCATGGTCAGTGTCAGAGTAGGTACCATGGCAATTCACAGCCACTCACAAGACAAAGAGATGGAGGAGCAAAAACCAAAAGCCTTGCAGAAGGCGATTCTGCAGAAAGAATCCAGAAATGCGGAGACAGAAACCACAAAGTCCTAGAAAGAGCTGGAAACAGCCACTGCCTGGTGACTTCCCAGATTCCATGCTATACTTCCTACACATGGGGTCCATGAAATTCATTCCCCTGTACCTTTTCAACAACACTCCTTTAAATTGAGCTAGCCTGTATTTCTCTGTTCATTGCAACTAAATTAAGCCTATGACAAAGACTGACTCCAAGTTCTGGAAGAACTCTAAAATGGAGGTCTGAACAGATAACAGCATCACTGGCTTAAGACGATGGCACAGAGTAGCCCCTTAATTAACACTGGCTGAATTAATGGAGAGCAAAGCCCACTTAGATAAGTCTGGTTTGTTGAAAACAGATCAGTTACATGGCTTTGTAGTAATTACCTTATATAAAATAGTAATGCAGAGCACAGCCTCTTTATAGTTGTTTGCTTACTTCAATATGCATTATTATAGCTGATGCTCACAACATCATTTTACAGGTGAGGCAACTAAGGTCTGGATGAGCTTAGAAACTTGTGTTCCCTCCTCCTTCCCTCTCCCCCCACCCCCAAAAAGTAATCACATATCAGAACTGGGTCTCAAGTCTGGGTCTTCTAACTGCAAAGTTAGTTCTTTTCCCTATTCACAATACTTTGTTGTTGATGATGATATTAACAGTTGACAATTACATATGTAAACAGTAGCAGGCACTGTTCTAAGTGCTTTATATATATTAATTCATTTAATCCACATAGCAAACCTGTGTGGTATGTTATTATCCCTGCTTCACAGATCAGAAAATAGAGGCACAGAAAAGTTAAGTAGCAGGCTCAATGCCACACAGCTAGTAAGTGGCACAGCAAGAATTCGATCCCAGGCAGTCTGGAGTTCCCTGAAAGCCACATGAAAGTAGGTAGTGCTATACCTGGCCCATAGCAAGTGTTTGGCAGAGACTGAAGTTAAAGCACACCGAAGCTAAGAGATCTATAACAGCAAGAGCTCACTATTGTAACAGATAATGGTATCCCTCTGTCTAAAGAAAGTGATCCATACTTTCTTGCATGGTATTTAGTTCTTCACAATCTGGCCCAGGCCCTCCTGGGACCATCTGCTATTTCCACAGCTAGTTGGGCCATGCTCTTTCATTTCTTCAGTATCCTTGCACATTCTCTTCCTTCCTTTGACTGTTGGAAGAGCTTCTACTCAAACTTCAAAGCTCAAATCAAATGTCGCCTCCTCTCCGTACCATACCTAGTTTCATCCACCTTTCCCTGCAAAATTAAATATCTCCCTTGTTTTCTCTCAGCATCTGTTCATACCCCTCTGAAGGCCCTTGGCAGGACTCTGTAATAGTCATGTATTTACACATCTCTATTTTCACTAGCTCTTCCTCCAGGGCAATGCAACCCTGTAGTCTCAGAACCTAGCACAGTGCCTAGCATACAGTCAAGGTTCAGTTAGCACCCATATCTGCTCAAA